CTCCGGCGCTCTAGGTGCCCGCTGACGTGTTCCCTCCTCCACTGCATCGGCGGGACAGTTCCCTTCCCCTATCCTCTCCTATAAAGCACTCCCGGCTGGACTTTACAAAGCAGGAAGGCGCCTTGCAGATATTTGCAGCAGGAATCCTGCTGTTCTGGAAGCTCGTACTTGCAGTTCGGCGTACAGACTGTGACATGCGACATTGCCAAGAAGGAATAAAAAGTAAAATGCCTGCTCCCCCCCGCCATCCCCCGAAAGGTTTTCCTCACTTACTAAGGTAGGCAGCCGCACTGGATGCCATTATATCTGCTTACTGGCACCAGGTGGATCCGTCAGCACAATTCTTCCCTGAAGGTGCAGTATTACTTACACTGTAAGGTGTATCTTCAGTTGGCTGTGGAAGGGTTAGCTTGAATTGACCTTAAAGCAATTCGTCCCTGAGCGAAGTACACTCTGACTCTTTTTAGTCCTATTTTAGGACAGAGTAGAAGACTTGTTATAGGAACATCATAGTCTCTTCTTGCTCTGTAACAGGATAAAAAAAGCCTGCACACAGTTTTAGCATTTATTTATGAGAAATATGATGTGACAATAAGACAACAGTTGCATCTCAAGAGTAGCTGAAACTTCTGACAGCTTGAACGCGAGCATTATGAATAGCACAGGCTTAAGAAATGTTGCATGTCAGAATTCTGAGGAAGAACACAGAAAATCTTCTACATTACAGGTTCGTTGACTGGACATGCTATGCATAATGCAAAGTATGACGTGGATGCTTAAAATCCTAGAAGTAATTTGGATTTGTCAACAAGAGGAAATTAGTCAGTTGAATTATCCCAGTATAACTCAACACGTACATAACACTAAGTATTTCTAAATTTGTTTGGTGTGGAAAGGGTTTAAATTAAATGAAGCTGTCCTTTTTTGGAATGAGACCAATCAGACAAGTTTGTAACTTATGTTGATAAACTGTTTTGTGTAAACATGGCAGTCCTTGTGTGCACAATAGTAACAGATAGAAAATTGGTCTTCTAGACTAAAGGATTAGCAAAAAATTTAAGTGAGCAGATTTAGCCTCTTTCCCTTTTAGAATTAAAAGGATATTGTCTCATTTTGCACAGGAAAATTTTATAACGTAGTGGAGAGCTGAGTTCACTGAGAATATAAAGTTAGTTCTTGCCATTGAAAAAAAAAAGTCAACCCAAACCCCAAACAAGTATTTAAAGCCAAACAAAAGCAAAACTGGTATATAAAGCATAGAAACATTCTGCTTATTTTAACGGTTAACCTGTGTTCTGTGCTGTTCTGAAAGCCCTCTTTAATTTTCATATATATCCTAAAACCAAGTAGTGCTGATGGAAATAAAAAAAAAGTCTTTATTATTTTTTTGTACAGAGTTGTTGAGGATTTGCATTGGTATACCTGAGAACAGAGCAGGAATGGTAATAACACTGTTTAATTGCTGCTAAATATGAGGTTCTCCTCCAAGAGCACATTTTGCCACGAGTTTGTATGAGTGAGTCGTTGCCTGAGCTGCTACTCCACTGAATTGCTGGCAGTTCGAACTGACTGTAAAGCAAACCCTTTCCATTAAAGTGCTCTTTAAATACGTCACTGTATGTGCTGTCAATCGGGACTGCCCTAGCGCGCGTAGTTATTTGCAGGCTCAGATGTTATAAGACAGCAGAACAAAGGCGCACAAATAAGCATATCTGAAGTGCCATGAAGTGTGAGGTAAATACTCTCTTTGCTGTACAACAGTTCATTTCGTCGTTGTTCACTGTAGCTGTGGAACCGCGGGTATTCCCTCACAGCACCCAGGGCTTTCACCGCCTGAGTTACCAGGCGCGGCTGCTACGCGTCTCCTGAGACTCTCTTACTCCAGATTATTCCTCTTGATCTGGAAAACGCACAGAATTACTCAGCGTCGGCGTGACAGATCGCTATGCGAGGTTGAACGAGCCGAACTCCCACTCTCCCACTTCCAGGTGAGATGGACGGCGCCTCGCCTTCCCCGGCCCGGAACGTTTGGAGGCCGGAACCTTCGGACCCCTGGCGGGGAAAAGGCGTGGGGAAGGAAAAGGAGCGCGCGCGGCGCCGCCATTGCGCAGGTTCCATTCCCGGCGCTGCCATTCCCGGCCTGTTTCTTCCTGGCCATGTACCGGCCGGGATTCCGCGCGCCCACACCTCCCTACGCGGGCGGCGGCTTCCGGAGCCCCCCCTCCGGCGGAGGGCCCCTGCCGCCCTCCCCGCGGGGCTACGGGAGCCCCCACCACACGCCGCCCTATGGGCCCCGGCCCGGCCCGTACGGCGGCGGCCTCTCGCCCCGCGGGCCCGGGTTCCAGGGGCGCTTCGGTAGCCCCTCGCCGGGGGCGCAGACACCGCGCAGGCCGCAAAGCGTCAGCCCCCGGTACCCGGCTCCCTACGGCGGCGCGGCCGCGGCCGGGGCGCCCCTGCACCTGCCGTCGCAACACAAGCGCTCGCCCGGGGGCTTCCAGAGGCACTTCCAGGTATGGGGCAGGGCGGAGAGGGACACGGGGAGGGAGGGAGGGAGCTGCTGCCGCTTTAAAGCCCGCTAGGGAGAGCACGCTGAGCGCAGCATCCACCCGCTCCAGCACGATTTTCAGTGAAAAGCGGCACTTGCACCGCACTGGGCAACATCAGTGTTCCCTGCCCCCCGCAGCAGAGAGGACGGCGAGAGCACAGCTCAGGCAGCTGTAAGATGAGGAAAGGGAAAAGGGCCCCGGGCCTGGCCTGTTGTGAAGACGCAAGGGCTGACAAAAGTGCAACTTTTCTTTTTCATATTCTGGCATGTGAAGGTAGAGAGAGAATTAAGCACCAACCAAAACTGCAGCAAACGCCTCTTTTTCCTGTACATGCCTCCCTTTGATTAGTTTTCTTCGATGCAGTGGTGAAGCACTACGGGCTTTTAGTTTGCCTGTATTGTTACATCATGGGAGCTTCCCTATCCACGCCCTGTCCAGACCCAGAGCTTTCTGGGACACGGCTAGAGAACAGGAGTGCTTATTAAAGAGAATTAAGCTGAGGCTTCTTTAAGCAGAAATTAGAGCACCTGTTGGGATAATAGACTATTATTTTGAAGTCTTTGCATTGGACACTGAAAGCTTCTGTTTGTATAAAGTAGTTTTCCTGACAGCCATTCCCAACGGGTTCTGTGGGTTTTGCTTTTTTTCCAGGTGGGTTAGTTGTGGCATGTGACTGGCAATGCACATAGGGATGATACTAACTTTTTGTATATAACTGGCCTTATGCATTATTAGGTAAGCCTTAAAAGTTCAACAAATGCCACGTGCAGTACAAGCAATGATAAATTTTGCAGGTGCTCTTACTGACACTTCAGGGATTAGAGTGTGATAATGAAGTCAAATCTTAATAGAGATTAGTAAAATGTTAACGTGCCTGCACTGCATTGTCATATTTCCATTCAGAAAGAGTATTTTGCTACTTTTTTGTGATGCAGTTAGCTATCTTACAGGAATCTCATAGTTGGTGGAATGGGATCATTCTGAGCTTTGTACATATTCAACACAACAGCAAAGACTCTCTTGGTGTGAAAGCCAATACATAGCTTAACCTCTGTACCTGTGGAAAAGGCCAAGGATGTGGCATTTCTGCTGCAGATTCTGGAGGGACAGTTTATGTCATCGATGTCTAATTTCCCTGCAAAAGATCACTCTTTGGCTGTTCAATTAAGTGGCTTTTTCAAAGTCTGCCTTAAAGTAATTGAGCAGAAGAATATGCAGGAATCCTTTTGTCCCTAGTTTTAGTCAGAACTGTTTCTTGTCAGGACCCGTGGACAGGAACAGTCCCATAGGCTCATTCGTGATGTAAGAAACCCAATATAAAGAAGGTAGAAGTCTGAATCCAGTCTCAGCTTGTCACAACATTTTCCCTTCTCCCCTTTCCTTCTGTAGACTTTGTGAGTAGTTTAGGAGCATTGGCCTGATGGTGATGCTTTGAAAGACTCAAAGGATATTGTACGTCTGTAGCTCTGCATAGGACTGAAGTAATATCTGTGTATGCTTTTATGAGCATCCACAAGGGCTGTTTTTCTGGGTGGGGGGGCAGTGGAGGCAGTCACAGAGGGAGGAATCTCATAAACCCCAAGTCCCCATTTTCTTTGGTGTGGACAAGAATCTCTCCATGAGGCCATGAATAGATTCAGGTAGAAGGCCTTTTTGCATTTTCTAAGCATCAGATTTCTTTGTGAGCCATGTGTATTGTCCCCCTCTCTTCTGTAGGTGCTGATGTTAAGAGATCTACAGTGCTTTTGAAATCTGTGATGCTGCAGTCACTTTTGAGAAGGAAGTCTTGAGTGGTCCTTTAAAATCTTGTCAGAAAATCCAAAAGGCAGTTTATGTTTACTTCAGTCTTCCATTAATGTCATGTCATTGGCATTCTGTGCTCATTTTGTGCTTGCAGACATTCATTTTTTTAAATGAGCAGAAAACACAAAGAAAAATATAGAGAGCTTGTTGTTTCTGAAATGGGTGACAACCTTTATGTGGCCAATAGTTTACAGCACTTTCTGGTCTTTTCACAGACATGATCTGCTTTATATGTTATGAAAACACGGTCATGAAAACAAGGGCCTGTAGTGACAGGACAAGGAGGAATGGCTTTAAACTGAAAGAGAATGGGCTTACATTGGATATTAACGAAAGTTAAGTGAGAAAAGGCTGTTGGCATCAGTGACAGCAAAATAGAAAGTTTTTTTTAAGGTATCTTTGGCGTCAAACAGTGTCTCTTGCACAGAGTGGTTTAATTTCTACAGGTAGGGCAATTTCCCTTTTCCACAGGCCTAAAAAAATACAGAGGGGGAAAAAGCATATGTTGACTAGCATTCTAGACTTAAATAATCTACATGCTTAAATTTAACACTTACTAAAGTCTGTCAATCTTGTATTACATAATAATACATTTCCTAGATTTCAGACATGCTAAAAATGTCAGTGTTACTGATGGCCTGCATATATTGTAGTGAAATTTAATATTATTAAATAAACCCATACAAATGAGCCTTACCATTGGATTATTTTGTTCCTTCACTGAATACTGCACATCATTGTCAGCTGAGCTTTGTGTTCTGCAGATTAGACATAGCATTAAATAAGCTCCACACTCAAACTGTTATACAATGTCAAAGTTACTGGGTCTTCCTTAAATGTGCTGTTGCAGAGATGGTGAAGTTTTGTGTTTTTTTCAGACAGAATGCCCTGTTTACTACTGCTTTACTACTAAATGTGAGGGCTTAACGTAAATGTCACTTTTGCTAGTGCATATCAACTTTAGAAAATTCTATGTCCCTTAGAAAGTTTTTTAGATGTAGTCTGAGGTGATTCTCTCTGATCCTTGTAGGGTTTGATGCAATAAAGTAATTCTTCTGTTTTGAGATAATCATCTAAGCTACATAACCTAACTACAAAGGATCATTAGAAACAAGTGCCCTGTAAAGAAGACATGGATGTTCCCACATTTGGTCATGTATGCATTGTCATCAAGCTTTAGGAGTTTTAGAAGAGTTCTTGCTGGAACCAAATTGACGTGTTCCTGCCACAGCACATGAGCAGAAATAGGTTCAAGCTGTTTGAGGGAAATCTATTCTTCTGGCTAAACACAGGGGGCTTCACTGTATGGCACCATTTCTCAGTTTTACCCAAAAATTTTTTCATGTGATCTGTTTATGTAGATTCTGTAAGGGCTTATTAGTCAAATTCAAATACCATCACTGCTGATCCAAAAAGTCAGGGGTTGGGAAGGGTAGGAGGGGGAAGCAGCCCGTAATCGTGTTTTTACCGTGCTTCACAAAGTTTGATACAGCCTTGAGGAGTCCTGTTGTTCTAATCGTACAGAATGCAATGGGCATGTTTGGAGTCTATTGTGTACCTGTAATATGCGTTGTTTAACTTTTGGTAAAAACAAAATTAATTTAAATAAATACAGCTTTAAACAAAACCTCACTTTTTAGGGAAGTGAATCTGAAGAGAAGAACAATGGGTGATGCTAGCAGGAGAAAATGGTTATAGGCATTCCTTTATATCATAGCTCTCTTTAAGTTGCAGACTTGTAGCAGCTTTACACAAGCAATTGTAGTGATCCTTGATCTTAAAAAAAAAAAAAAAATCGAAAGTTCCATGTGAAAGTCAGTATCTGCTTAATCACTGATTACCATTCAGATTGTATATAAAATAAAGCCATCTGTTCTCAAATTTCACAGAACACTGGTTTGAATGAAATGTGGTTTTTTTCTCAATGAGTTCTTTGGGTCATTTGTAGCTATTTGCGTTATACAACACTGTGTTCAATCTGTAAGTACTTAATATATGACTTCTGCTCTTGTTAATATTGTCAGCTCTTCCTCAGCCTGTAACTCCCTGTTTTGTTATTCAGCTTTTGTTAGACATATCGTTGACTTAGGCAGCTTATGAAGAACAGCATGAGGAGCTTTTCCGTAGATGTGTGCCAGAGTGATGTAAACAAGTGTTTTGGAGAAGTCTGTTGTGGGGCTTTTTTCTTATTTTGGTAAATCATCAGCTGTAATTAAAAGAATAATAAAGTTAATATTTTCTGAGGAAGATGCAAGTGAGGCATAGTAATGATCATTAATAATCAGCTTCAAAGCTCTACTACAGTAGAAAGAAACATTTTTTTTTTTAAGTTTGAATTAGTCTATTGAATGTTTCTTTACCTGATGGTTTTCTTCCAAAGGGATCACCCAGGACATCTACTCCATTTGGTACAGCGCATGGCAGAGAGAAAAGAGTGTCTAATGATGTGGAAAACTATTACAGACCTTCAATGCTTGAGGACCCATGGGCTGGCCTAGAGCCAGTTTCTGTTACAGACATAAACCAGCAATACAGCAGTGAGCAAACAACATGTACTGGTAAAAAAGGGAGGTATTTCAGCTAACACTTTTAAAGGCCAAATAACTCCATCTTGTCAGGAAAACTTTGGGACAAAATCTTAACAGTTACACAAGATGAACAATAATCAAGACCTTAGATAATGCTTTTATTTGAACGTATGTCCACCCTTTTATCCTACTTTTTTTTATTGCATTGGATATTTTTATGTATGAGATGGAAAAGGAGTGGTAGGAAACCTTACATTTCTGGCTATGTGGAAGTGCCTACCAGCTTTGAAGAACAAAGTGTTCTTTAATCACCAGCGACTGATTTGTGGCTGTTAAAACAGGTTTCCGTATACTTACCTCTTCCATGCCAGATTGTTAGCCTTTTATTGTAAAGTACTTTAGGAAGTGGTATTTTTTTATGTTTCAACATTTTTAGAATGAAGTAACTTGGAAATAAAATAAAGTTTTGTAAATTCTTGTTTTGTAATGTATAAAGAATATTTTAGGACTCTTGTTAAGGTGTACACATTAACACAAATAGTACTATTGAAATTAGGTGACTTCTGTAAATGTGCTTGTATGCCATAGTTAACCTGTGGTTTTGTGCAGTGATTTTTGTTAATTGCAGTGTAACGTGAAGTTTAGCCATCTCAGGAAACAAATGTATTGCTTTTGGAAAGTTTAATTTGTTGAACCAACTCTTGAGTCACAAACTTAATTCTGTAATCATTTGCTTTTGTGTTTAAAAAAATATAGTTGAATCAATATTAGACATTTTTGGATTATAGTAACAAGTCTGTTCAGTGGCAGTTTAAGTCTAAAGAGTACATAAAACATCAAGATAAAGTAACTGGAAATGTTCTCTGTGGGGTCCACCTGTTTAGAATAGTATAGAATGAATGACAGGTTTTGTTATACTGTTGACATTAGTACATGCATAGCTTTTTTTTTTAATCTGTACAATATTTTCCAATTATTTTTTATTTTTACTTATGGCAGGAATCATTGCCAGGAGAGCTGTTTTGTGTGTGTGCATGCTATATTTTTATACTGAAGTGGAAAACAAGGAGTTGGTTTTTTAGACCTTGTCTTTACATGGAAGATCCATGCATCTCAAGTACGTCACCTCTGTTTTCCCCCAGCTGACCCTGTTGTTTTAGTATTATATCCAAAAAGGCCACTCAGAGAACTGAGAACGTAATGCCTTCTGGATATCAAGAATGGTTAAATCTTCATCCCAGAATCAAAAGAACTGTGCCTTAAATGGCAGCTATCAGTATCATTATCTGTAATAGATACCAGCAAAACTGAGATGACAAGTTGCAGATAGTCTTTAGAATTTATACATCAGTTAATTGATGTCAATTGTGAAAAGTGAAGTATAAAGTTTTCTTTCTTTTTTCTTTTTTTTCTTTTTTTAAAACCTTGTCAGGTGCTGTAAAGCTCACAAAAAAAAAAAGTCACCTTTTTTTTATTGCTATTTCCCATGTGATTGAATGCAATTTATTTTTTGCAATGTTTGGTGACCTTGGAGAAACAAATATGATTTTATTCAAGACACTAAAGCTCTGATGTGTTCACAGTTAGATATGAGAACAGTCTGGGTTTGGAAAGGAGAAAGGAAAGGTAAAGGATTCCTGACAGAAGAGAGTCTGTTAAGAGGTGGGACTGCTTACACAGTAGGCAGTATCAGCTGCTAAGTATCATTGCAAAGGTACATTTTGCCACTTTGGCTTTGCAGTTGGCCCAGGGATCAAAGCCAGCCTCCTCTGGTAATAATTCTTAACTCCTGGAACCAGGTGTCAGACATCAGTGAAGATAAATGTTCCAGAAAGAGACTTGAGGAAATATTCTTGAAGCACTGTTTAATCAATCCAGACCTTCTACAATGGCATCTGTTAAGCTGCTGCTCCAGTGCACTTCAGGATATGACCCAACAATTATATCGCACTGCTAAAGACTCCAATCACTTGGTCAAGAATCCACACCAAAAACTTAAAAATTATTCACCTTTCTGGCTTCTAGGAGAAATTCTGCAATTACAGTAAAATTTTAAAATGTCATTGTTGAATAGCTGTAAAATGCATGAACACTTGTTCAGAACTATAAATATAATGTACTTAAAGCCAGTTTAAGCTTTGCCTTTTGTGCTGTGATACCCAGCAAGCTTAAGCACTTACTTCCTCACCAGGTTTTTTTCCTTTTTACCATATGGCAAACATTCTTTTTCCCCACATGTTTCTAACCGAGAGAGAATATATCACTTCCTCATTTATTAATGAAGCTACTTCATAGTAACAGTATGACTCTGGAAATAGCATTTGATGATAAAAAGTAAAGCACAAATACATCCTTTCTTCATGAGCCCATGAAACAAAATAGTGCCTATGTCTTGTTAATGAAGGGATTCTTCTGTAATGAATGTACTAGGAATATGGGCATTGCTCTTTCTTCAACAGACTTCTTAGATTTTAAGGTAAGTAATTTAGCTCCTTTTTCAGAAGTTTGGATGGATATACTTTTCTATTCTGTTCCGCTTACATTGTGTTTCTCCATCAAGTCCGTTTTTGACTTTCTATTCAGTTGTTGTAGAGGAGTTGTATAACTCTTGACTAAATCTTCCAGCAAAAATTAATTCATTTGTTGCTGTTTGTTCCTGTATTTAACATTGAACTGCATCGCTACTACACTGTGCTGATATCACAGTAACATAACTTAAAGCAGATGAGTACATGTGTAATGCAGCAACACACTGGGTGGGTGGTTACCCCAAGTTGTACTAGAATAGTTCAAAGTTCAGGTTTGAGGTTCCATTGCAGCTTTATAATATGTAATATTCATTCTTCTCTGGCACTTAGTACACACTATTTTATATTGAAACTGTTACATAATTTAGAATATTGAAATTACAATTAAAATGGGATTTTAAAAGTTCATATCAAGCTCCTCTTTAGAATTAGCGATAATGCATTGAGATGTAGCATTTTGCTAATGTCAGAGCTGGGAACACTTGCCAGGGAAAATGCTTCTGGGGAGCAGAATGGATAACTACTTTTGTAGTCAGGTAGTTTTTCTTTTCCTGTTAAGGGTATCTTTATGTGCTCTTCAGTTTATATAAATTGTGTAATTAGACATCTGAGGGGGAGCATTTGAAACATGCATTAATTATATGGAAATTCTACAAGCAGCTGTTCAGCTTCCTTCTAAAGAAAATTTTTTTACAGTCAGTTTGGGCTTCAAGTTGTGCTTCTGAGTAATCTCAGTGAAGTCAGAGGATTCACTCATGCAACTGAGATGTGTAAGTATCTAATGTTACAGTTTAAAAATTGTATCATCCCTTAGTCTGTCAGTGCTTTTTTCCAACACTGCAGTTAACTGCTCTGCCTAGCTATTGCTCTGAATTCAAGTTCATATATGAGCCGAGACTGTCTTGCAAATTAATTAAACTTGTTCTTACAACGTTTTCCAAAACTCTCAAGAGTAAAGACTCTTCTCCTTTCCCCAAATCTTGGTGCTTGCCTTCCTCCTAGCTCATTGGAACTGGGGGAAAAAGGGAGGACTGCCTACACTGATTGGTGAAGAATCATGTAATGATTTTCATGTCTCATGTTTTCAGAAACTTTTGTACCAATTGATATAGGTAACTAGATAAACTTTTTTATCATTTGAGATGTCTCAAAACAACTTTTTATAGCACAAGAAATGAAAGAAATCACTGTTATGCTCAGCAGTAGTACAGTTCCAGCATTCAGTCATTAATTCGCAATCAAATTTTTTTGCCTAAAGTAACTTTTCATCTGTATATAACTAGGCACAAAGTGAGTCATTTTCATTTTCTGCCATTTTCACTGAAATGTGTGCTTTGCTGACTTGGAATTTAAGAACACTCTCAACCTGGACTTCTGAATTTACTTTTACAAAATTACTAGCTCTGGAGCGTTAGACCTCACATCTAGGCCTTCCCTTTAAGGCATTTTAGATCTGGCAAAAAGAGCTTTGTCTCATCCCCATTGCTTCCTTGATGAGGAAGCCTTTGACTAGGGCTAGAGACAGTTGTGCAGATGCTTGGTGCGAGACCAGGCCATAAAGGTACCCTTCCTCTCCTAGAGGTTACCTCTACCCTTGCCATTCCAGTGCAGTGGGGCCCAAGAGGTGTGTTGAGCCAAATAATAATCCTTCATTTTGCTTCACCAGCTCTGTGTGGGTTTCAAACCATAACCATATTGGGGGTTTGCTTAGTGCATGTCCTGAATTTTAAATTTCATCAGTGTCTTCTGCAGTAAAATCACAGGTGAATTCCACTGGCCTTTGTTCACTGATCTGTGGCTGTTGCACATTGCTGTTCTGAATTATTAATGTAAACATTTGTACTCAAGAACATAACTTTGTGGCTAAAAGGGGTCATATCAGTACAGTTCCAGAGTAAAATTTTTAGTACTGCTGACCACTGCTATTAAAATAAGAGCTTCTCTGTCCCCCTTTTAACAGGATAAAAATTAAGCAGTTGAGATGCTGAGCTACAAACTGTGGTCTGTGTAGGGCCAAATGGACTACATGACTAGGGACATACCTCCATTAGCTGATTTCCAGATTGGAGATAGAATGGGGTTTTAACAAAGAGCTGAAAAAAAATACCATCCCACTCCCTAAAACGACAGAAAAAGGTATTTGTCAAAAGTAACCTTACACATGAAACAGGAATTTTTATGCAGCCTCAAATTTTTCCACAGTCTCACAGAATGTGAGTTCTGTCTTGTTCTTTTTCTTCTGGAGAAGCACTGGCTTGTTACTATAACTTCAAGGCTTTCCATGACATGAACTTCAATTAAAACCATCAGCTCACCATTTGACCTGCTCTCTGACAAAGAAATCTCTAGGCCATACTGTTCATTGGATGTCAGTATTATTTTTTTTACAGTAAAAAAGTTACACCTTCAAATTCTACCAGGGACCTAGTTTTCACATATTGAAATCAATTCTTCAAATTGCTTAATTCTGAGTATTAATTTTTTCCAGGTAACAGTGACAGGATTGTGGAAAATGTATTAAATTTATGCCTTTTTTCCCTATAAAAGAAAGATAATAAGTTGAATTAATTTCATTAATGTATCAGTCTTGGTTCAAGTAGTGATGGCAGTTTGCAAATTCAGCAGAATCTGGGACTCCCTCCTTTCTTCCTTGAAAGGGCTTACACTTTCCAGAACTGGCAAACACGGTTCACCCACAGGCACGCTGGGTCAGACCTTTTGCAGATGTGATACTGGGATGGCAATAATGGTCTCCACAGTGCCAGTTGGACGTGAATAGGGACATCATTGTAATTCAGTGTGACCTGTATTAGCCCATTTCTACATTGCAGCTACAATAGGATTTTAACAAGGACAAAACAAGTAAGTCCCCTTCCTTCCCACACACACAGAGACACACTTCAAGGGACTTTTAATTTTTCAAGTCTATGGTAAGTCACTATGTTACTGAGGTAAAGAATAATAGGATTTAAATTGTTTTTTCATTTATTCACTAGTGACAGCATCTTAGGAGGCAAAGAATTTGACATCACATCAAGCTGAAATTTTTAACACAATTGTTTTAAAATGGGCTGCACTTGAAAATCTGCATGTACACTTCTGTGGGCAGCAGTAATCATGCTGCTTGATGCTGTATTAAACTACACTTAAAGCTTCTGGTATCCATATGTATTTAGCCACAATCTAATTGCTGTGTAGCCAAGATAGTTAAAAGCTGTTACTGTAGAGCCAGTAGGTTTAAATCTTTGTTGTATGCATGAGAAAATTCCTAAGAGTTAAAACTGCTGAACATGATGTTGATGCAACTCTTAGTATAAAGACCAGTAAATGGAAGAACAAAACCTCTTTGATGCAGATTATTCCCTTTTCAAGCATCACACAAGCTAATGCTAGAACAAGAGAAGAGGACTCAAGCTAATTGACAACTTCCTGTGGACGACTACACAGCATAAACCACAAATAACAGAGCTAACATAAGCTTTAAAAAACAGATTGCCAACTGGGAAGTAGTATCAACAGTTTGGATTTTAAGTAGCAGTTACAGAGTGTTTTTAAAATCAAACCACTATCTCCTGTGGCTTAGTGAAGATTTTTAGGTTAATGTAAAATGAAGCTTTGAGCTATATTCCCTTAACAGATGTGGGGAATTAACATATTACTATTCCTACAGTTGAGTTTGCAGAAAATAGTATCTTCACCACTTGTCTGTGAAGTCTAGCATCTTTGCCTAAGTCTCACTTCATTATTTTTTTTATGCTAAGAAAAAACTGGATTTGAAAATCTCAGGGATTATTACAAAGATAAAAGGGAGAATTAGCATCTGCAAATGGTCCAAAGTGTACAATTTGAGTTGATAACGATAAGAAGGCACCAAGGGTCCATCTGTTGATTACTTGCCATTGCACTTTCCTAAAGCTTTCTCTTGTCTGCCTCCTGGTTCCTATGGCAATAAAATTACACTAAGGAAAATTACATGGTTGTTCATTTTCAGATGTTAGCTGTATGTGCACTATGGGCAACAGGTTGAGAAACTGCGATAACTGCTTTCAAATGAATGAACTGACAAATTGTGTCCCTCTTGGAACTGAGGACAGCTTACACTACCTGCAGTGTTCCTGTACTTTAAATAGCTTCTAAAATAAAATTCCAAGTATGTAGAAAGCTTGTGCAAAGAACCTTTAAAATCCCTGTTATCAAGGTATCTGTTGCATCTGGTTGCATTTTTCTGACACTGTTTAATTTCGTCTCAGAATAATTGCTGTATATTTTATACACAGACTCTCCTGTAGCCCATCATCCTCACTGCTGTGAGTGAGGTGAGGAAGAAATAGCTAGTGTCTGCACTTTGTGGCAGAAGAGAACCCAGTGTTTCCTGTTCTTCCTATGCCATTCCCTAAAGCTAATAAAATATTCAGACCAAGTTTCAAATGTGTTGCCTTCCTGACAGGAGGGATGCCAGCAGAAAGGCAGCCATGCTTTCCAACACATGCTAATAATAAGTGGTAGCTGTTTAATTCAGTGAGCATCTGAAAAAAAACACATTTCCCCAAGCACCTTTCAATTCACTGCATATGGAAATGATTTGTGCTGTAATCCCTTTCAGTGGAAGACTCTTAAACAATTATCATGGAGTAAAGCGGTGTTTAGCTCTACTAGCCATTACTTTAACAAGACTTTCTTTTAATGACCAGTATCTTCATAACTGATTTGATGCCTAATCTGGTGCACCACCTGGTCTCTCATTTCCTGGAGGCAAATGTGGTTCAGCTTTTCAAATTAATGAATCAGAAAGCCAGTTGTGACAGTGTTGTAAAATTATTATTTTATTAAACTTTAGAAACAGAAAAATAAGCCATAAATTCACTTCCAGAGTTGAGGTTTCAGGTGCTGAAGAGTTTTTTCGGTTGGGGACTTTTTCCGGACAGGAGCTTTAAGTGGCATAATCACTTTCTGAAGCATAGGACTGTCACCATAATAATTGTAAGTCTTTTCATGTATCTTTTTTTTTAAAAGCTACAGAAAATTGAGCCTAAAAATGTTAATAATCACTAGTGGTGGTCAAGCTCTGGAAATGCTGAATTTATTATTCCAACAACATGTCATATATCACATGATGTAGATGATGCTTTGCAAAACACAGAATGTGTAATACAAGTGTTACAAACGTGATTTCTTGCTTTTTCTGACTGGCTACAGAGCATTTAGTGACAATTTGAGTGGCTTTTGCCTTCCCACTTAAGAACAGTTCTAGAACTACTCTGAAGAATAGTAGGAGCTGCCAGCTTCCCCAGTACACTTTGGGGCACCTGCTTTACAAATATTCTACCAATAAGAAATCTAATTCCCATTTGTTGGGTCTGTGTGCTTATGAATTTAATAATGCTGCTGTTGATGTGTTCTCTCTCCTGTCCCATGAAATCCTCCAACGTTACATGACTTGTGAAAGCATTACACAACCAAATGGTGCCCAGTTGGGGTCAAGCCAGTGTCCTATTGAAGTCTTTGCACAGCAAAGTATGCGCTTGTATGTTTTTAATGTTGATTTAGTCTTGTCAAATTGTTGTCTCCGCATTGTGTAGAAACTTGGTCAGTTACCACCATTTCTTACAGCAGAACCTGTTTTAAATACTGATCACACTTAAAACACAACTAGAAATAGATTCCCAGAAATTGTCAGTGAAGCACCTGCATTCGATATTCTTTCTATTCTGCAAATGAAATACTGACTTTTTACTGTTAACTGCAGTGTCTTTTGTTTACAGAAGAAGGTTTCACACATTTTAATTTTTAATTAGTCAATAAAACTGATCCCTCTCATTCTCATTGCATTTATCTTCCCAATTCTATAGAGGCAATTGATGATCTCACCTAAATTTAAACTACCAGCTTCCACATGTTGTTATTGACCACAGTGACCATATTTAGTTCTCCTGGATGCTGTTTACTCCTCTTCTGCTCTTGCCAGCACAAACATGTCATACTGATGAAATATTTAGACAGAAGTATATTTTAACCAAGACAGGAGGATATTGGGACTGTATCTCAAACAATTAGATACGTTTAGAACTTGATGGAAATACTTATTCAATGCTTTGATATACTGCTTCCCATAATGAAGGGCATCCGGTAATAGTTTATACAATACAAAAGCTCTGTAATGCTGAAACTTTAATACAGGACTTGAGGAATGAAAAAGAAGAGTGGAAGAGGCTGCAAGGTAGCAACAAATGACGGGTGCGTGCAGAATATTTCCCTGGATGTCAGGAAGCAATTTGCATTCTAACAGTTGAGACTAAGAACAAATACCCAAACCAAATTGGAGCTTCGCAGGAGATCAGTTGAAAGGGAAGGCCATGTACGATTTACCTGATGCTAGAAGCTGAAATAGAGTTGAATTTCTGATAGAACAGGTTTGTGAAATTCTGTGGAATTTGTTGGGTGTTTTGTCATTTTTCTGAGAAGGCAACATTGTAATTGCAAGTACAGTTTGCAAATAAAAATTACTACTACTACTACCACCTGCATGTCTTCTTTCACTGTTTTGTGTAACTGTATGTACTTGCTTGGATGTCTCAGAGCAGGATCTGCAATCCATAACAAGAAGCAATCTGCGGAGAAAAATGTACATAGCTTCTAAAGTCTGTCAGGTTCAGAGTAATACTCTCCCAATGTGGAATTGCCAGACCATCTGCAGAAATTTTTTTTACTATTATTTACTACTCCTCATATACAGCATTAATAGATTTCTGTTCATTTCCCATGTCATCTGTAGTTCTTAGTCCACTGCCCAACACCTCCCCCCAGTGAATGATTTTCACAAAAACAGAGATTTAAAAAATGGTTCCAATTGATCTTTGTTCTGCAAAAAAGCAGGAACGTACCTGTGCTGCCGCTGCCGGAGGGTCCACTGCCTGCCTTGTCTTGAGGGCAAGGATTCCAGCCTGGGGATCACATGACTTTTCAACAGTATTTGTGGGACAGGGAAGGTTACAGGACCTGCACATGGATAATTTTGGCTGCTGGTTTTGTCGACTGGGCACAGCATCGTTTGTTTTCCGGTGTGGGGATGTGTTTTCGTTTTAACTAGCACAGAAAGGCAGAGGATGCTCCTCTTCTGTAACTTCCATGTATATTTTGCCAGTGGAGCAGCTGCAAAGCAGAAGTCCCGATCTCTCAACCCTACATTGATTTGCAGGTGGTTTCTAACATCCAAAAGCTCTCTGAAGGATAATGGTGGTAAGAAAAAGCAGAGAAAAAAAAAAATAAAAACCACTGCCAGACCAGGTCCTGCTTCGAAACCATTCCCATAGATCCTTTTTCCAATTGGTCAGGATGAAGAATGAAAGTAAAAATACCCTTGCTGGACACCTAAGTAATGATCTCTTCCTTGCTCAGGGAAAATCACCTCCTGAAGTCAGGCTTCTGTCTAGTTCTCTGTACAGCCCGTTCCTTGCTCAGGGTGACCTAGAGACAGAGCTATGAGAGCACTGGCAACTCTTGGTGCTTCCAGCAGCAGGGCATCAGTACTTCCCTACCACTGCCACCTGGGCAAAACTAAGATCCTCAGAAGACATTTGAAGAGCAGGAGAAAGTGTGCTTTTCCCCCATGACAGTACCTGCTGACATGCTGTGTGCATTTGTAAAACAGGTCTGAAAAGAACTTGCATGAAAGAAAAAAGGCACCTGTATTAGACATTGCCGCACATTAAACACTTGCTTATAACTATGTCCTATAGCAGCTAACGAGACCCCTGGTGGCCTAGTGGTTAGCGTGCAGGACTTTCACTGCTGCGACCACGGGTTCAAATCCCGGTCTCCTGGCCTGATGGAGGTCGTTAGCCCTGTGTGGCCATCCATCTATGAGAAGGACACTCTAAACAAACCTACGTCCTGAGGACCTCACTGCCATTGTCCAAGCTTGCTTGGCCCCGGCAGATGAACCTTAGGATTAAAGGGTGGGCTCAGTTCAGCGCAGGCTGTGTCTCACCTAAAAAAATCCATTGCGCAGGCTGGAAAGGTAAAAGACCTTTCCCCGAATCTTCGTTCGCGAAGATGGGCCATTATTATATATTATTATATTATAGCAGCTAACACAGTACCCTAGCACACAGGAGGTAGTACAGCACAGACACACATCTGCACAAGCTAAATACTAACTACAGAAACCAGTTAATCCCCCCAAGTTACCTTAAGGGCAGCACACAGCTGTCCGATGTGCTTGTGCGTACCAGGAGCTCCCAGCCTGGTTTATGTAATGCTTACCCTCAAGTATTCCCTTTTCTAACCAGCTATATCTCTTCTACCCTGTATTTTCTAATACTGAAAAAAATCTTCACAAAGCCTCTTTGCAAGAAGTCCCATTAAAGATACATTCACCATATTATGAAAATTAGCCATATCAGTAGTACGTCCAAAGTGCCCACAGGAGGAACTGCTGTAGCGGAATTGAAGCCATGCTGCATAAAATGATCTGAGCATTGCCTATTAAGCAAGGGCTGCTATACATGAAGAAAAACACTACCATAGGCTCAGACTCAAGGTTCCTCTGACTGTGAGTTCTCTTCGGGGGCAATAAAAAAAACCCACACCAAAATAAGCAGCCATAATGAGCACACGATTCTGAAAGCAAAACCCTCAAGCTCCATCAATGTGAACAGTTGACTGGCAAAAGAAACAGTTCCCCTTATTTGTCAAATAAGTTCTCTCTCCCCTTCTTTCTGTCACTGTAAAGTGTTCTGACTCATTTTCTCCCACACTGGGGAGTTTGGTAGCTGTAATCCCGTTCATCCAGATGGCCTGTCAGGGTTTGTAGGCATTCCTTAAAAAGAGAAGCAACCTAATCCCGGTTTGGGTAATTTAAAATAAATTTTTGCAAACCTGCATTGTACTTTCAGACCTTGGAAACAGTACTGGAGCAGCAAAGATTTTTTTTTTTAATAACTTAAAGAATTTCAACACACTGAAAATTATTTTCATCTGGATACTAAAAAAACTTTCTCAGTGTTCTTTTGAAATGCTTTTTGACAACTAGAGAGGGAAAACAAAGACTTCGAGTTTCCGTGTATTTTATTTACAGGCCACACAATACATTTTATATACAAATGGCTTAAAATAACAAAGAGTAAGCAAGCTGAAGCATAACAATTTATTTTAAATTAGGTTGTCTTGAAATAACTCCTGCAATAAAGTATTCTTCACCCTGATAAGCACGTTAATTCAATTTTAAGTCAACCCAAGGTCATTTCATTTTTAAATACAAATTCAAAACAATTTTCTGGCAATTCCTTAATTTCATGACACACTTCTGCAAATGTAGAACATCCCAAAACTATCAAGAAATAGCTAAAATTTCCTCATGTAAAAAACACAGTAACAGAATAGACTGGGGAGAAATGTTGTATGTAAAACACTTGCGTGTTTTATTAATGAAAAGAAGAAATCAGGAAGTACATGTGAGATTTTCCTCTCTTGGAAACATGGTCCAAGATCTAATCTGCCTGCAGACAAGAGGTATCCTGTGTTACTTCAGTACTTTAGTTTTTACCACACAATTATCTATTAAACTCTTCCAGTTGTAAACTTCACCAAAACCGAAACTGCCTCCTGCAACAAGCAAAAGGAGAAGAGCACTCAGAACCGTAAGAACTTACAACACAGCACTTATTGCCTTTGCTTCTAGAAAGCACCTTACACTACTGTGGGATGGAGAAAATTTAACATATACCACATTTTATGGAAACATAAGAAAATATAAAGGTTTGCCGTTTAAAAATTATTTTTCCAAGGAATTATATTAAAGGATACATGTATTTTACACCTTTTCCCTAACACTGCTCCTTCTGTTCAGCATAACAACTAGCAATCCATAAAAGCTGTTTCCTTTTCCTTTGGCTGAGTTTAAGAATTATAATAGTCTAAGTGTTTTAAGTCATGGTCATAGCAGTCCAGTTGTGCTTGCTTTCTTCCTCTTGGTATGGCTAAAGACCACTTAATATAAATAATGAAGTACTTCCTACTTGATAGTCCATTATTACAGTATTTCACTATTTTTATTTAGAAATACAAACACACAACACTTACTTTTCGATGTAGTGTCCAGGTCTCTGTAGCACAGAATTGCAGCACAGAAAATATAACCCCAAAGGAATGAGGGGGGAAGTAAAAAAAGCCACAGCTCCACAGAAAAATAACGCAGTTTTCAGAATGTCTACTATTGCATCAAAAATGCCAGGGCCACATGATGTAAATTGCCAAACTAGTACAGACTCTCTGCTGAGTGGAGTTTGCTCAAAAGGTAAAATTCTGTCAAAAGCTCCTCATCATGTGTTTTAATTCAAAAGAAATGTTGACAGGTAATAGACAGGTTGGGTGCAAATGAATGTGGACCTACAGTCATAAAATCCCGCCAGTTCACTGGCTGCTAACCTGCCTAGACAACTCTGGGGCCAGGGGAGCACAGCTGCAGGAACAATCCTCCTGCCACACCTCCAGAGGGCTGCCCTGGAGAAGCAGGGCAGAGCTCCTCACCCACACGCAGCCCGTGCGTAGCCTCCACTGGCCCAGGAGGAAAGGCTGCCAGCAAAAGAGCCAGGAAGATCCCCTAGGTCACAGAGACTGTAATCTCTTCAGAATTATCACATGTGGAAACACATTAACTTTCCCTCCAAATTATCCCAACACTGTTGTCCCAGGCAAATGCAAAGTCACATTGTTAAACTGGAGAAAAGTCATTGTACAGTACTCATCTGCCACAGCGTGCCAGAGTTTTGTTTCTGATTCATCTGGCAGTCAAGTCTATTGTATCCCCTTCTCTCTCCTCATAGTCAGGATTACTTGTGCTCGGGCCATGTTTCTCATGGCCAAAGACTGAAATCCATTTTGGTGGAACAATGTATCAGAGTACTGCCAGCCCATAAGGAAACTGCACTGTCATTTTACACAGGCAGAGGGGACTCACTTCTCTGCACTAAATGAGGTGAACTAAACGAGTTGAAAATTTACCTCCAAAAGGGAAGCAGTAGGAGACACAACATCTTCCTTGCATTTTTTTATTGGAAGGCAATTCATTTAGTCTTCTGAGATCTGTTTTCCATTTGAACTTACCTGCACTTTAGGCCAACTATCACCCGCAGTTACACTGCAGGTGAGTAACCCCAGACTGCACACTTTCAGTGTAAGTAACTGCCTAAAAGCTTTGAAAGGCCTTTGTTTGATTCTGAAAAAAAAAAGGCAGCAATCTGTGTATCTCTGTGGGACTGGGTTTTTTAAAGATTAGTAAACAAAGCTGACACTGTCCATATCTAAACAACACTAATGATTTTTGTCTTTATAATTTTACTAGCAGAAAAATACTACAAGGGTGTCCTTACTCAAGGAAAACTATCCAATGCACTGTCATTCACGTGAAGCTTTTGCTTTTCTTAAGCACAGGCTATTCAGGTCATAAGTCTTTGTTTCTGACCTGGCCACTTTTATTTTCAGATCTCAGGATTTTTTTTACTGTGTCTAGTGAAGGCAACTGCCAGACTTGTAGGGACACCGTAGGCAGCAGGACTCTCTCTCTGCTCCCCATTTGCCAGATCCTCAAAATCTACGTGGTTAGTGAAGTGAGTTTCTCCACGCTCCACAGGGTGGGATTTAGCCATATAGGAACCAGGATTTTCAATCAAGACAAAACACCAACAGCTTTGGCTTCTACTCTGAAAATCCAAAAAGTCACTGACAAGACTACGTTTGTAATAGTGTAAGTAGAAATTTTACTTTTTAAAAAGTAATATTTAAACACTCAGTTACATAAGGTACCGATTTGTCAACTGGATAATCAGTTGGAAAATTGTTTCCAATATGGGCTTCAAAACATTCTTTTACGTACAGGCAAAATATAACCATACCTCCTCTCTGCAGGAGAGAGACCACTTGTCAAAGGAAGGAAAAAAACATGCTGGAAGTTGTATTTAGTATGAGGAGTGGCTCTTGATAAGAGTTTTAACTATAATAATTTTATCAGTTGTTCAGAGACTCAATTCCAATATTAAAATGTTCCGTGGAATAGCAGATATAAAATCAATTAATTGGCACAATTACAAGTTTACAGAGAATTAGAACTAATGTCAAACGTTTTGCTGTTGCCTTAAATACTGGTCATTTTTCCTTTGGTTACTTTCTCCAATGCAGTACTTGTGGTAAAAAGACAAGAATGTCAGCTTTTCACACAAAGTAAAGTAATTACTGCTGTTGACATTTAAGAGAAAAAACTATTTTATCACTCGGTAAGGACATATGAAGTATAGTTTATTTGGCAGAGGAACTAAAACACTTACAACAACTCCAAGAGGGAGCTGAGGAAAAGCTACACTCTTCATTCTGCTCCTCACTTTTTATGTTTCTCATGAAGTTCAATTTGGAAATTACGATTTCACCAAGGTAAGATCAGGTCTCTAAGTAACTGGCCCATGTAAAGTAAACAGCACAAGGTTATGACCTATTTGAGTTTCTTATTATTATCTGAATTCTCTTGTTAACTACCTAGGTTTAGGTATTATGTTCATACCAATCTATAAAGTACTTCCAAATTTTTGCAGACCTTAAGCTTACATGTTAAGGCACTTACCATTCAAGTAAAACAGTTTTTATATAAACAAGCCTGGGAGATGGACATTTAACCAGAACATCCATTCTTTTTTTTTTCTTGAAAGAAAAAACATTGACCAAATATTTATAAAATTTTGCATCAAGAGAAAGGTTGTGTTTTATTATCTGAAATGAGCACAAAGTACACCTTCCACAATAACACTGAAAGCAGTGCAAAGACTGACAGTGACCTTTGACTAAAGGTAGTTCTGTAAAAAGAAAAATACCAAATAAATCAGTGCCCTGCTTTGATTGTTGTAAAATTTCCTTTTTTTTTTTTACATAAAACTTGGTCCAAACTTACAAAAAAAGCACAAATGTGCATAGTTCAGAAGATCTGAAAGAGTGCCATAAAAAGCTGATGTCCCTAAATTTAGCATCCACTTAAAACTGCCAAAATACAAAATAAAATTCAGAACTAGAGTCTGTGAACATGTACAATCAATTTATCTAGTTTTCAGACGGCATGAGTTGTAAGCATTTTTTAATTTTTCCTACTGTATGCAAGACCCTTTTCCACATAAAAATAAAGCTGTTGAATTAACATTATTCAAGTCTGTTGAATTGCTGCTTTAAACTGCAGCTAAGGGGGGGGGGAAGTTTTTCCAGATAAAAATGATGTGCCTGAGGAAAAACAGATACTCAATATGGTAATCCTCTGCCTCGCCCTCTCACTGCAGATGTGCTAATGTGTCCCCTGTATCCTTGAGAATAGCCAGGTCCTTGGGCAGGAGAAGTCCAAGTCTGTCCATGCATGTGGCTGATGCCACTGGGGTTTTCCTGCAAATTACTTCCATAGCTATAGTTGTGCACCTTTGAGGGCAAAGAGTGCGTACTCTCTGGCCCTGTGGAGGCATCACTGCTGCTCCCCAAAACCGGGATTGGGCCGTGGCTGTATTCAAACCTATGGTCTTTATCTCCACTAAATAGCATGGGGCCAGTGTTGAGGTAAATGTCTCCATAACCAGTTACTGAGCTGGGAAAGGATTCTGAAAAGGCTGATGGAGGAGGGGCAGCACCAGAGTGAGATGAAGCAGTACTGTAGTTATCCAAAGACTGAATATCCGAGTTTCCAAGGAAACTCCTCCTTTCTAATACTCCTGATGATCCACTTCCTATTCCATCGCTACTGCTGTAACAGGCAGATGAAAAGGACGATGATCCAAAGTTATCCTTGTAGTCTGGGCCTGTTACATAGGAGTCTCTAGCCTGATAATCCACAGTCGTTTGTACTGGCTCCTCCGTTGTCGCCTGAGCTTGATGCTGAGCAAGCAGCTGCAGAAGAGCTGCTTTCACTCCTGCATGAGGATCTGTTCCTGAAGAGTTAGTTATAGGCAAATGCTGATTCTCTGTCCGATAATCAAGGTCTTCATCAGTGAGAGGCGGAGGCTCCGGTGGCTCGGGGGGACGCTGATCTGGAGGCAGGATCCGAGGGCGCTCCTGTTCGGGCGTTCGGTTTACAAGCCTCATCTCAGACTGCCTAACCAAATCCTCTTGACCTAAGAAGATGAAAAAGAAAAGCTATGGAATAAAAACATACAGTAACAGTACCAGAAAAGAAAGGACTTTCCTGGAAAAACAGAGGTTTGTTACTTCAATTCTCATTAACTTATTAGTTAAATTTATCAGTAGTTATACAAATTATTTTGGAGAACAAAATTTGGCAACAGCTCATTTCCCTCAGGAGCATGATGCAGATTTCTCCTTCAAGTAAGATTACCAGGCAAGCAGTTTAAAGAAAAACAGTAAGAGTTCCCTAAAAACACCCCACCAAAACCAAATAACCGAAACAAAACTCAAGCAACATGTAAGCACTAGAAAATTCAAAGAGGGATCAGGAAACATTCACGAATAGGATAAAAGTCTCGAGGGACAAAAGGCCACCCTACCAAGGAACAGCAAAGCTCTAGGTTTAAAAAAAATCATGAACAAAAAAGTATACCACTCAAAAAAACCCCCCAAAACCAAAAACCCTCAGAAAATAGCCCCAAAGCACTTCAGAATATTTCTTTCAACAGCTGCAAACCACAAAGCAATACATACACCACCATATAACAGAAACTGAAATAGCAATCCAAAAAGATGAACAGAGCTCTAAACAGTGAGAAGAGTATGGAAACCTCGACTGTACTACAATAGAAACCTTTAGCCATGTGTGCGACAGTTACAAATAGTCACTTATAGAATTTGACACTAAGCAATTGCTCTAGTCAGCATTGAAACCCCAAAATAAAATATCCTCTCACCAAAATATGATTTACCTAAACACACAGTCAAAACTGGCAAATTCCATTCATGCATCTGCTAGAGAAGACTGTCTTCTCCACCACACACAGCACTAAGAAAACCCCAGCCCCCCAGAATAATGATCAGTGCTTCATCGCTAATACTTGTGTACCTCTTAGTGTGGGGAACATTGTTTGCTCTGTCTCCATGGCACCTGTTACACTAAGACAGAAATTCTATGATCCAGACATAAAATGTGACAAAATCAATTTAATCTCCAATACTCACACAGATTCATATGGCAAACACGTTAATTCTCTACCCCAAACTATTACACTTCCAGTGCTTAAGGTATTTGCTGGTTAGCAATAAAGGCCTTCAGTACCTCCAGACATATATAATGACTTGATCAGATGTGGGTAGCCAGGTGCTGGAGATTCCACGTCGTCCCGGCTGACAGATGCAGGAGTGGAGGGCTCTGGAGGCTGCCTGAGTTGTAATGACATTTCATTTCCTGATCCGTTTTCCTTCTCCTCCAACACAAAATCTTTTTGTTTTGTTTGCTGAGCCTTTATTAACTGAGACAACAGAACAGCAAATGCACTCTGCACAGCTGCCTGGGCAGCATCAGTCTCAACTTTAGGCTGGCCCAGCTGTGCAGGTGGCACAGCAGGCTGGGTGACGATCTGCTGTTTTAAAGGCTCCTGCTCTGGTGGGGGTGGCGGAGGCGGCGGCGGCTGCTGCTGCTGCTGTTCTGACTGTTTTTCACCTGCTGACAAAATTCCAGCAGGAAGACTTATTTTATTTAGTTGCTGCTGAGTCTCTGGGTTTACTTTAATATTCAATACTTGGGCAAACTGTGCCAAACTAACACTTGTTTTAGACTGTAGCAGGTTTAGCAGGATTGCCACTTCATTCTGGTTTAACTGCTGTCCAGTGCTTGTTTTCGCTAAAGACAAAAAAGGTGTTTTTAAGTATTATTTAGAACTTGCATAATTCAGAAACTCAAAAGAAGACTAATCTAGCATAGCTGACAGAACAGGCAAAGCATGGGTTTGGACAACACAGAAATGGAATGCTTTTACATATTAACTGCCTTTGGGGGAGTATCTAGAGGAAATAGTAAGATCCAATATAAAGAAATTGACTTCCATGAGGTCCACACATGCACTTGGACAGATGGAAAAACGTCAAGCTGGAGCTCAATTTTCTACAATACAACTAAGCTGAGGCTTAAGGCCAGTTGCTTTAGGCAGCTGTAAGATATATAATCCCCGCAAAACTTCCTATCTTTGACATATCACGTCCCTTCAAAAAGTAGCCATCTGCAAAACGCATTTCCAGTCATATTCTGGCCCATTCTAATTCAGCATCTGGGTTCTAACACCTGCACAAGCGACCAGGATCTACATGGCCCAGGAGCTCAGGGTATAAATGCAAAAGCAAGTGCTGAGCTTGAAGGATGAGAAGTCCATCACTTAGTAGCAGGAAATATGTAATGATATACAGTTTCTTCATTTAAATGGAGTTTGCCACAAATAAGAGGAGAGTATGATGATGCAGGGGAACATGAATAAGGAGGTTGGGATATCAACCTTAGTTTCTTAGCTTCAAACACCTGTTGTGGTGGTTTATTTTGAAAGAAGTGAAGCAGCATGGATTTAAACATGCCCTAGGAGTAGATGGCTTAGAGAAGAAAGTAGTTAAAAATTAGAAAATGAGTGTGTCTGTGACCGTGCTGGCAGAGCCCTGAATTTTTTTTAACCCAGATCAGCATGAACACATTCTGTCCTTTTGCTTGTTTACCAATATGTTAATTCACAGCAGATTAAAAGCCACGCACAAGAAAAAAGGTCACACACATAAAAATATTAAGTATTTGCCTTGCAAGATTTAAGAACAGCACAGCTGGAAAGTGCTGCAAAACCCACTACTTGTAGATGTGCACCAGGATACAAGCACTTGGAACTACTCAGGCGGGATCCAGGCACTTCAAAATTTTTATCTCTTTACATAGATATAAAACTAAACCCACTTTCATTTGGCAATATAGAAAAAAATTGTGATTTATAATGCCTTGTACTGCTGTCTCATTCAGATGTTGTGATTAACAGTCGATTTTGTCATATCTGAATATGGTATACTCAACACTTAAACTTCTCTCAGACTCTCAGTGAAAATTCATCAGAAAAATGCCAAACAGGGAAACTAATCTGTACCCTTTCATTAGTTTCGAGTTCATTCCAACAGCAAACTGTACTCTGGGAAATCTGTCAGTGTCTCCCAGAACGGAATTACTGAGCTCTACACAGCTCCTGTTAAATTGCAAGATGCAGATTATATAATATGTCTTATTGATAATATTATCTACAGTGCATTATGATGTCCAGAGGTGTTTTGTTTAATACAGAAGACACCTCTATGCTCCTCTGCAAATTAAAATGTCTTCTACCTAGATATATACTTCTACGTATGTATGGGTAAAGAGCAACATAGGTCTGAATAATTATTTTGCATGGTTAGTAGTAATGACTAATAGACTTGTCTCTTATCAGGCTACCTGTTATAAAAGTACAAAGAAAATAACAACTCTCCTTTGGACTCTTTAAACTTCTAACAGTTTTCATTTGTGGGGGGAAAAGGGCTACAGAAAGTCATTCTTGAAAATGCTGCCAAAACTTTAACCTAAACATACGGAGTAGCAGAAGCTCACAGTTGGTTTACAGTGAGAAACCAGATGAACAGGAGCAAGAGGCAATAAACTGCAATAAAATATTATCAAAATGACCATTTCCTATATATATCTTTGCACAGATTATTTGGAGCTCTGCTCTACTGTTAAATTAACAGTTGATTCAAGATGGTTAGTATTAAAGAATTTTAAGGTACTACAAATGCATTATCTGTTTGGTTTTCAGCTGAACTCCTGTATCAATGCCATAGGATTTACGGTCACTTTGCACAATCAAAAATGGTCTAAATTAATCTTATCAGGTATCCATCTGGTGTTGTTATTCTGTGTATTTCTACATAGTGTAAGAGAACTATCACTAAACTGCTGACTACCTCAAATGGAGTCCATATAGTCCATTACTTTTCTCTTCTTATTATATTCATAAAACTAGTCTCAAGCAAGATACTCTGGTTAAGTTTCAGAATTAAGGCTGTGCAATCTACGGAGGTAGATACTTCATGGCATATGAGGTTCTGGAGGTGTTTTTCAGTGGTTTTTTTTTTTACAACTTGGTTCAGCCCCAACAACCTGGAAAGCTGAAGACTATCATAACATGCAGATGGATTCCGTTCCATTTGAAATGATGACTGTTCTAAACTCTGCCTTCTGATCCATTTATCAATACCAATAACGCTTCTCCAATCTATGGAGATTGTGAGGAACTTTGAACGGCTACTGGCTTGTAGGATCACAAAAGAATTACGGATGAGCAAGAGCTAAAATCCCCTCAAAATACAGAGCAAGCAAGGTAGTTGCTCTGACCAGATTGAAAAATTAGGTAAAACTGAAAAGTTTCCAAAAGCAAAGGTAAATCTCTTGTAACAAAGATTTAACTTACAATACTGTTACTCCCTCAAGAATCCAGGAGACGTCAATACTCTGCAAATAACACCCAAAATTTTTAGAGGTGCAATCCAAGTAGAAGGTAATTATAAGAACTGAAAATATTACTGACCAAGTGCTACACTAGAGTTGCCCTGAGTTTTGAGTTGGGAAGAAGTTTGCATGCCTTGTGGGGTGTTGGTTCTGCTCTCATCCATGCCTAGGGACAGATCCTTCCTAGGGACTTTAGCTGCTGTTGAGTCATCAGTCATGCCCATCTGCTTCTGTCTTCTGCGTTTCTTACTCCACAGCTCATGGCAATCTTGCCACAAAGGAAGGCTGCAAAGAATGATTAGAGATAATCAGTTTTATCCCAGAACTCTTTTTATTTAACCATACTGGTAAAATAAATATTTAAGTTATACATAATGTAACTACTGAAAGATGAACATATTGGAACTCAGATATACATCAGAAAACACTCAAAAGCCAGCAAAATCTCAGACCTGCTTTTTCTGGATGAAATCTCTTCATCGATTGCCTATTTCAGAAGCACAAGTCCTTCTAGCAGAAAAGGGGAACATGTATCTTAAAATGAGAATGTTATTTTCTTGAACTCATACTTAAGAAAACCCTAATTATTTGTATAATTCAAGACTTCAAAATCAATGCTGCACACTTGCTATGAAATACAATTTGCATAGTAACAGATGACAAAGTTATCAATATGAAAGTGGTTTTTTCAAGGTCCTGTAAAAGTACCGCTGCCTCATTAGGTCAAATATTTGTCCACAATAGTAGACATGGCAATGTAGTATTTACATTGTATTTACATTGGCACAGCCAGCCAAAAAAGTAGGGGAAAAAAAAGAAAAACGTTGCAGAAATAAGTTGCATGAACAAATAGCACTTAACGCTAGCAAAGCTGAGATACTAGGAAGAACAAGGGATGTCTCGATCCTTTAAGAGAGACAGATGCAGAGACAAAAGTCTCCTAAGGAACTCATCAGCCACTAATTCTGTCCTTCCATTACAGTTTCCTGCAGGCAGCTCAATTTTGATTTCCTATGGAACACGAAGACCCATCCATAGATAACAGAAATACTGAGACAGGCGGTAAGAACAGTGTTTTATGTTTTCCTATTACATATTAGTAACTGTCTTAGCTGTTTTGTCACCCAGGAACATAGCAAAATTAGGTGACAGATGACAAGAGACACTGGAAAGGCAATTATGACAACTGTTTTACTCTCTCTCTCCACACAGCAGGTCAAAGACCTGCCAAGTATTTTCTGAAAAACAAATGGAAGCAAGCAAGAACTCACTGTGCGAAGTATCCTACCATCCCTGCAATCAGCACTGTCACTTTCTTTGAATGAACAGCTGCTTCTTCCCAAAAGAGAACTTCAGTCTTTCAAGAGAACAGTCAACACTTTCCTGTGCACGCTGTCAGAAGTGAGTGTAGTTCTTAATTTATAAAAGGACACCAATGACTGGTTTGTCTTGAATTACCATATATCAGCTTCTAGAATGGATGCATTACCACATCCCTGAAGAATAAAAATTCTTCCCATTCACTTACTTTAAAATGCACATAAAGCAACATTCTGTACAAGTAGTTCTGAGACTCAGCAAACAGCCTAAGATTGCTGATTTCTGATTTTCACACAGTGATATAGTCACATTCAGGCAATGAAACCTCTTAGCCTTATGTTTCAGGAGCATTAGTAACATTTGCCCAGAGAGGCTGTGAAGTCTCACTGGAGATATTCAAGAACCTCCTGGACATAATCCTGTGTTCTAGGATGACTCTGCTTGAGCAGGGAGGACCAGATGACCCACTATGATCCCTTCCAACCTTACCCATTCTATGATTCTGTGTAACAACTATGTGTATGTAACAGGTAAGTCTTGAAAGAGTTTTAATAAAATCCTTAGATAAAAGGCAAACATTTTTTCCAGTTGGTAACTAATTAAAAAGAAATCAGTACAGGCTGCCTTGAAGGTTCAATTTACTCAAACAATATTGAATGTTCTATGTTCTGACAGCTATCTTGAGGAAAGAATTGAGACCTGCAGATTCTGTAATACCTTCTCATTGTTTTCCTCAGGGCCTCTTTCAATAATATTTGTGCTGATTAAAATGATGATTAGGTCACTGCCAAAATCCTACTGGACACTGCAGTACATTGCCCTCAGAGACACTGACAGGAAAAATCCTGCACAAAGGATCACTTTTCCTGCCTGTAAAACCAAGAATTTCATCTGGCTCAGGAAACAATTTACCTCTCAGGTACCTTTGTAGAATTCTATACCCAGTGTCATTCTACCATCAAAGAAGGCAATTCAGATTCATGGAGGACTTTAAAACCCTTGGAAAAAGTAGACCCCATAAACAGAGATAAAAGGGGAATGATGTTTTGTAAACATTAGAAACATTCACAGTAGAGTATTTTCTTTAAAGGAAGTAACTCAGTAACTAGTTCTAGGAATGACAAATGAAACAATTCTCAGATGCTCACAAGCACGGCTATCACGGTGTAAGAGTCACTCAGCAGCACAACCATTCTACTGCAGAATCACCATTCCACAACTGTATATACCAATGTTTTTGTTCTGCCACCATCTAATTTAACTGAAACATAATAAGCTTAATGAAATCAGTGCACATTCCCATTCCATAGAGGTGAGGACCATTACCAGTGGAAATGACTTACTCTGGAGGAGGCATTTTAGATGGTTCCACATCTCGCAGAAACTCGCACTGAAGAGCCTGTTCAGCTGTGCAGCGTTTGCTGGGATCCAGAGCAAGCATATAATCGAATAAATCTAATGCAGCTGGTGGGATGCTACAAAAGTGCAAAATGGAGAAAAGCATTGTATTTTTACTTTGTATCATACACTTCCGTGCAAAATTTTAATAAACACATCCCTTCCAAGATAACTGATCATTAACTCCTCAAATAACTTACATATTAACAAAATTCACTCACAACCTGAGCATGGTAGCAAGAAGCAGAAATAAACTTCACCTTTTACTACCTGTGCAACCTTATAACCATATAACATAAGCTTTCTTTGCTTTGTGTTGTTTAATTGTTTAAACATTGTCCTTACACCCCAAAGTTTTTAAGCCAAGACTGTGTTACTTTCCACTTTGGAATTTAGCACTCAGGGAGTTGCACTTCTGATTGGTGCATGGATAATAATTTTATTGCTTTAAAGATATTAGTCTCATTAGTATGAACAGATGATGCATTTCTTCAGAAAGCCACAGTACCTGAAGGAGGGGAACAAACCCTTTAAAACAAGCTTACAGCTGTTTTCCATAACTTTCACTTGTGATATTTGCACAAAACTAGTCCAGTGGCAGTACTTTAGAACACACAGTTCAGATAACTCCTCTGTGTTGAATGATTTATGACCCAAAAGACTGTAATTATAACCAGATCACATATTCAGCTGTAGCCAGTTATACTAATAAAAAACAATCAAGTTTTTTGGACGGGGCAACAAGCAGGTGTACCAATCATGGAAAACAAATGTTTCCTTAGGTGAAAGCTGACAGGTGGCTGAAATTTTACGGCCTTCTTTCCTCTTCTTCAAGTTCCTATTAAATAAGGGTTAATACAAGCTCTGTGGGTATCACGGGAAGGACAAGAACCTAAAGCCATTTTTGCTTTGCACTTGATCTATGCTCATTCTCCGGAAAATACTGAAGTTCATAAAGTCTCCAGGAAAACTTAATGATATTACAGTTGACTAAATTAATTCTTCATCCTTACAAAGCAAACTCTTCTCTCAGTTTTCGACGATACTGCTTCTTTGGTTTCATTGTGTTGAAATAAGCTAATTTTATAACATCAGGCCACACTGCTGGACAAGGACTCCCGCAAATTCGGCTGTACCAAAAAGAAGGGAAAAAAGGGTATGAGATCCAAACCTACAAGTGAGCACAGCTGTCATTTTATTCTTGCATGTACAGTGAAAACCAAAATAATTTCCAATTTTAATGCTCAGGTTATTTTTAGCTAAAATTTCTCTACTGTCAAATGCTCAACACATTAAATAATGGGGAATTGTCTACAAAGGGTAATCACCCTGCCCAAACTAAACTTACTGTTTCTGCCTCAGCCCAGCCCACACATCCTTCACTATGCCTGAACAGGACTCTGGGTATTTGACTTGAACTGGATAACCCGTGGTTAGAATAACTTTTATGTCCTTAGCTCCCAATGCCACTGACGATACACCAAATGACTGAAAACCCACTTTTCACTGAGAATTTATTCAACACTGAACACACAAAGGGAAAAAAAAAAAATCTCAGTAAGGCCTCAAGGCAGAAGCAAGATTTGACCACTAGAAAACGTCTGTATGTTTTACTTCAGTTATGAGTTTTACGTGTCAAGCCTCATTTATCTCCACAAAGAGAGTTGCCCACAGTCTTACTCCTACCGCTCCATCCCCACCCATTTTATCCAACAAAGGATGGCTAAGCACAGATTGATCAACATCACACTTCTGGGCAGAAGAACTAAGAAGGCATTTTCATACACTCAAGGCTTCAAACTCTGATGCAGGCAACCGTAAAAGGACATTTTGCAAATACACTTCCCCAGTTCAGCCCTCCTATTTACCAGATTTAAACTGTTAGTGTAAGAGAACTAATGATCTATTAGTCACACCTCAAATGCTATGCAAACCAACCTGACTTTACACTGTTCAGGGTATGTAACTTTTAGGGGGGAAAAGAAAAATAACACATCTATCTCTTCCTATGAGAATTTATTTCAGGTCTACCTTTGAACATTAAAGTAAATGCCTAGCAGCAATAAAGAGGAAAAATGCAGATGCTTCCAGCAGAAGGGAACCACAAAGTTTTAGTTTTCTGTACCAGAGGTACAACACAAAGAAAAAAACCTTCAAATGACTCATTGTAACATTCTTCAATGCCATCTAGTGCTCAAAAGCAAAATTTCCCCAACTTAGGAGTTTAACTCTCCTTACACCGAAAATGACCACTGATATGCTCTGTACATCCTAAAAAACTTAATTTTTCCAGGCTGGCTAATTACACTTTACACAGAAACATGCTACTGTTCAATTTGTATGGAAAAACATTTCAATATATAACTTTGTAATATTTTTTATTAAGTTAATTTTTAAAATAATGTGGAACATTTACTGTTCGGGTTCTGTAAGTTCTGCAGAACTTTTCCCCTTGTTTCTAGGAAAAAGACCTCTCCCTGTTTATAAGATCAATTATGATATCAGAATCGAGCAATTTTTACTTGCTGAAAGAAGGGAAAGAAAAAAGATGCTCTGGTTCCACTGAGTTAAATACCTATCATTCTATGATTTATTGAGAACAGGGAAAGGAACAGAATTTTTACCTCCATCAAGTGCCTAGTGGTTTGTAAGGGAACAGAAATATTTTCACAAAAATAATAAAGCCCAGGTGTGTATGTGGTACGTTTGAAACAAGAACTCAAGGCCAGCAGCATGCCAAGTACCTACTCCTCTCAAATCCCACTTGTCCTTATTATTGTCCATGTTCTTATTTTGATTTGCTACAAGGAAGTTGCAACATCATCTTAAAAAGTAATGGGCATTTTGATTACTCTCTCTTTACAACTTCAGTAATAGGCAACTCCAGCCGTTCTACAAAAAACCCTCTTACTAATCAACTGTACACTGCTAGGAGCACAGAATACTCACAAAAAAAACCCCAAACCTTTCTCCATGTCTGTGCAAAAGTCATTTGCTTTACACACCCCTCAGAACCTCTAACATCTCACTCAGGGCAATAACTTGAGTACTTGAGAACATTCACAGTGCATTATCTCTGATTTTAACACCAACAAAAGAAACCTGTCAGTTTATGAGGCACCTACTATGGGTCAGTGCTTGCAAGTTACCTTATGAGTTCCAGCTGTGCAAGTTCTTGATTTGCTTGAAATATTGGCTTTTTTGTAAAAAGTTCACCCAGGATGCAGCTGTAAAACAGTTTTGCACAATTCCATCATTACGGCTTTCAATATAGATTGATAGAAGCATTTAGGATTTATTTTTGGCTTGTTTTTGTCCTTGCTACACTTCTGTCCAAACTCTTACCCACAGCTCCAAACATCGATAGCGGGTGTGTATCTTTCTTCTCCGAGCAGAAGTTCAGGGGGCCGATACCATAAGGTAATAACTTTGTTGGTATAAGGTCGGCTGTTGGGGGGAGGAAAAAGAGAGAACTATCATTTTACTACCATCTCACCTCTGAAAAAGTGATACCTTAAGGACTTTGTGATGCTGTACAATCTTCCACTCTTAATTTTAGTCCTGCAAAGCAGCAACTGCACAAAGGCAAATGCAACTGTTTGACCAAGGCTATCAAAGGCCAGATTGAAGATATAAATAATAATCACACAGTCATCTCGATGCTATGTGAATTCTGTATCTCAATTATTATTCAGAGAGCAACACTGTATATTTACACTGCTAGTCTTTTCAGGACCAGGACTACCTGCTTGGATAAAACCAATAATTTCCAGGCAAATATTGATTCTTAGCATACTGAATATAAAACCTCTACAAGCATTTTAAAAAGAAGAAAAAAAGTCACTTTTCCTTCTTTAAGTAGGAGCAAAAGAGACACAAAGCCTTTTTCTGGAACTACATCCTTCAACAATTTTGATTCCAAAGCCTGGAATGCTTCTAATATCTTCCTATATTTCACAACATCTTTAATTCTCTACAGCTCTAACCGGAAATTCCGGTCACTGGGAATAATCCTTTCCACCCTCCCACTAAAGGAAGGATTTCCACTATCTTAGACACACATTTTTTATGTGCACAGGAAGAGATACAGTATCAACAGTCCAGAATGGAAAGCAGAAAACAGATGTTCAATTTTAGGTTTTGTTTCAGCAAGGGTGTTTTAAAAGTGAACCCAGAATTCTTTCAGTTTTTATAATTCACTCTTACCAACACTAGGTAACTCCAAACAGAAAGCAGAGTAATATTAATTGTGGAGTATGAATGACCATAGAAGAAAGTCCAACAAGCTCTTACAACATACTCAGTCGTACAGGTATCATTTCTGCAAAATCATCTGAGCATTTTTCATTAACAAACTCCACAATTCATTTTAAAAATGTAGCATGTTTTTGGAAACAATCTCGTCATTTATCATATTTATCTCTGAAGCAAGCATTCTTCTATGAAATGTTTACATGGTATGGACTTTCTCTACAGATATACTGCTCACATATATTAGTATATGGTGCTCTTTATTTGAACAGATGTCTTTTCATGCAATCTGTCATATCTGCTCCACCAGAATAACACTTAAAGGAGCACAACTACAACAACCAATGGGAATTTATTTAAATTAAATTTTTATTTCCTCCCCATTATGCTCCTACTAAATTCTGTACCCTTTTAAACAGTATTAAATTCCAAACAACAGGAAACCAAATGCAAAATACATTAATTTAAAGCAGCAGCTATTATACACTTGTTGGTATACATTAATTGCATCTGTTACTGCAGGTCAGCAACTACTTAGGAGGGAAATGAATGACAAAAGAATTGTCAAAAATCTACTAATGAGATTCTAGTTATCCTCCCAAGTTCAACTGGCAATTCTATTAGCTAGCTTAATTACATTTTAATCTTGGTTTCATTTATGCATAATGGTGTAATATTGTTGTTTGATGCACAGTAAAACCTGTTATTTGCACTACAAAGATGCTGAATTTTCAAATCTTAATTAACAGTGAGTTTTACAAGCAAAATGTAAATTCATTTAAAAACGGACATTATAAAAACCCAAAACATGGTAAATCAGAGGAAAAAACCAAACCATTAGGTCAGTTTGGTGCACGTTAAAACAGTAAGATAGGATAACATCAAGCCATTTTATTATAAGTACATCCAAATCCAAAAAATAAATAGGCAGCAGCTGTTTAAGATTATCTTACCCTGCTACTATACTCAACAGTTTTCATAACTGTACTTAAGCATATTTTCCTGAAATAACAGCTCAGAATACCGTGAAACTAAGGCTATCAGGTTCATCAACAAGCCAAGAACTCTGTGAGAAAACAATAAACCCATAAAGCTAACATTATTGATATTATTTCCCAAATTAGCATGCAGAAATCAAAGTAAGCTCAGGTATCCAACCACCTCACGTACATACTAGCGTAGTGAACATTCAGCTTGAAAACTCAGTTCCACATGAGAAATAAAACATTACAAAGTAAATACTGAAGTTCCTAATCATAAGAAACTGTGCACCTGTTTCCTGGAGTACAAGTATAATGAAGCCAAGCACAACAGAAGCACAAGTCACAGGAAGTTTCAGGATAACTTTTATTTAAACTTGTATCTCTGTTTCCAGCAGATTCAACAGCACTGACTGCCTAAGGAGTACAATGAACCTCTTCAAATGTAAGGTTAGATCTTACACAAAAGTAATGCTCATTGAATAGGAACAGTATTACTACTTTGTGCCAGCAAAAAAAAATTTGCTTTCCCTAAATAAAGTCTTCAGTATATCAACAAAAAAAATATACTTTAGGTTTACAGGACCAGAAACCTAGGACTGTAACTCTTAATTTCCAATCAATATATGGCCACTCTCTACAGTTATTTATCCAGAACACCTGGAAAAGCAATACAATTGCACAAAGAGACTTTTGTGGTTTTATGCAGTGCAAGACAATGTGCACTTCTTTAAATTTCCTAAGCTATTACAGTACAATAAGATTTCCTCTAAAAAAAAAAACAGTCTTCTGGCTCCCATAGTAGAGTTATGCAGAAAGATTAAACTTCTGAATTCTTTTTCACAGTATAATTGTATCTTACCTCTCTTCAGAGTTGTACAGCCGAGCAAGCCCAAAATCCGCAAGCTTTATCTGCCCTCTGGTGGAAAAAGCAAAGAATTATTTAGTGGTTAATCCTGTTGAGATTTCCTCCCCCAAATCAGGTAGAGTTTAAGACTGCAAGTGATCTTCACCAAACCACATTAACAAAGAGGCAATGCCTTGCAATCTGTGCATTTCTTCTGTAAACAAATACACTAACATACTGAATAGCAAAGACAAGTAAGCAAAATTAGGTATGCTCATCAAATGGCATTTACATCACTGGATGTTAGTAAAAATTTAGGTGTATTCCAGGCAGTAAATCTGCAGAAAAAAAACAGAGGGAGGAAACTGCTATTTTCTCATGGCTTACTGCTAGCATGAGCATTTGTACAACATGAGCATTTGTACTTCCTTCTAGGAAGCCATCAAAGTCCTCTTCTGCTCTTGTACAGTTTAAATACAGCCTTAAAATCAGGGTGACTGACCAGAAAAGGGCTTCTATTTTTGCTAACAGCCAACTTGCTGAATGACACAACCCCTAACCCATTCCTGAGTTTTCCCATATATGAGGGGAAGAGTAGAAGATACAGAGCTCTTGCCTGGCAGTTCCCACAGCTAAAAGGCACTGCTCAATGACCAGAAACACCCTGTAAAGTCTGGATGATTTAAACAGAAAACTATCTGCGACCTTCTCTAATACATTCTAAATGAATTTTGGACTGTTATACGTGAGTTTGCTTTTCAATACTGATGAGCTTTTATAACTCCTATTACTTCCAAATACACATTATTTTATCAAATTAGGGCAAGACTTGCTGATGTGCATAAGAATGACAATTTTGTGATAATAAAATAAGCGTTACAGTTTCCATCCACTTTTTTCCTCAGATGTATACTCAGATTTGCTGTAACACTTGAAGGACCCCCACAGACAAAGAAATGTTCCCCTCAAATATATATGCTTATTCCTCAGAGAGGCTATTTGTGGAAGATGAATGTCTTTGCTCAAAAATTTGTTGAAGTTGCATATCTAAAAGATACATAATCCATGTGTTCGGCTTCGGGTTGTAACTAGTAATGGAATTTTAGAAACACTGGCTTAAAATTATTCAGATCAACTATCGAATTTTGTTTCTACCAGTGGAAAAATCTAAAGATGCTCAGAAAATATCCTCGGGGAAAAAAAAAACCAAAACTCTGTATCCTGTACTGGAGGGAGCACAGTACAATATCAAGCTCCTCCTCTACCATAATTCACTCTTCTCCACTGTCAGGTTACACGTCAGCTTCTGAGTTCCCAAAGGTGCACAAACCCTGGAGATTAGCAGGCAATAAGATTAGGTGTACGAGCACAGTGAGTGATGGGGAGGAACACGTACATCTGTTCAAAAGTCTGTATCATAATCTGGCAAGACTGTGGTAAGATCCAGAGTTGAAAATAATCTAATGTTAGTTTGCTCTAAGGGGAAAAGTAGGGGAAAATGGAAAATTTAATTTGGAGAAAGCTAGGATCCTACCAAAAGAGATCCATTTTGCCCAATATTTCATCTCCAACAGCAGCAGTAGATTTTTAGGGAGAACACATGAACTCACTCCCTTTAGGGCTCATCTTCCTTATATTTAACCACCACCCACAATCATTGTGCTAAGGATGGTAAAACAGGTCCCTGTCCATTCTTATTACCAGGTCCTAATGATCCTATCCCTTGAATGTGTCTCATCTTTTTGAAACTCCTGACACTACCCAGAAAACCTCCTGTGACAACAAATCCCAGAAGCTGACTACCTGCTCTGTAATGACACTCTTTTTTGCTGTTATAAACCTTGGTCTTATAGTTGCTCCCTGGATTTAGTACTTCGGGGTTTGATGTACAACAGTTTGTAAAAAAGTTATTCACTACCTTCACACCGGCCTTTTATTTGCTGCCGCTGCTGCACACCAAAAGCAGCAAGGTTACTAATATGATTTGTAATTACAAGGTGTTAAAGCAGTAAGAAACAAATCCTTCTCCCCATTTGATTGTAGTTACAATTGCAAACCCAAGGTACATTTGAACACGCCTAACTGAATACTTTTTAAAGCATTATCCTGACTGATGAAGATGAGGACCTCAGAATTATGTCACAAAGAACCAGCCACATTTCCATCTTGAAACGAGATTCTGTCTTACAGTCCTGTTTTAATATATTTCAACTCAGATAATTTTCCCCAATACTCTGATTTAAAAGACTCAAGTTTTAATTCTGCTGTTTTAACACATATAAATTTAACACATAATTGCAGGACCCAGTGTTAAGCAGGAACATTACCATATTAGTATTTTGCAATTGATTTGGAAGAAACTAGGAAATCTAAAAAATAAGCTTTGCTAATGACTCAAAGCAGGTGAACTCTGAAGATTAAAGGAAGGACTTAAAGATGTTAACAGACAATTTTTGTTACAGACTTTTAAGTAATATGCATACCTATTATTTAGAAGAATATTTGAACATTTGATATCTCTGTGCAAAAAGTTCTTCTTGTGGCAATAGGCCAAGCCCTCCATCAGCTGTCTCATAAAAGATTTAATATGATTTTCATTAAAATGAACCAAACCAGATTCTAGCAGTCCCATCAAGTCATGGTCCATATATTCAAATACCAGGTAAAATGCACCTAGAAAAAGAAAGGGAAAGGGTACAAGAAAAAGAGATAAAAACTGATTTAACAGCAGTCCAAAGCATTGTTGTTGCCTACTTTTTAAAATCAGAAGTATTTTTCATGCAACTGCTTACATTTTCTTCAGTATTTATAGCTGTACTTCATGCTCAATAATAGCAGTTAAATATAGTGCAGTAAAATGTTTTCATAAAACTGTTTTTCCATGTAAACAATTGTAATAGTCAAATGTTTGTGAAAACAAATATAATGCTACCATATGGTGCTTTAATCTAGATGGACACGTACTCTCCCTATAGCTCTCAATCTCCATACATTTTATTGGAAGAAAACTGTGTTAATATTCCCTATATAAAGTTTGGGGAGAAATACAGAAACAAAATATGTACAAGCATTATTAGTTCATCTGTCATGATTCAGTGACTGATTTTTTTAAAAGATTTCTGTGTAATTGGGTCAGAAATAAGTCTGCCCTTCTCAGACTAAAAATACCTATAAGACAGGACAAAATGAGAAAGCAGAACTAAGCTATTAGTAACAGCAGCTGTGCAAAGACGGAGTTCATATTTCAAGTTGCCACATACATACATTAAGCACAAGAGAATGTGGTCTTATCTCACATCAGCATATGTAATTCCACAAATAAAGCTATTAAGGCCAAGGCTCTTTGATACATATAAGTACTCTTAAAGAGGAAAAGTGCTGACTGCTTCAGAAGCAGCAACAACCAATCTCCAGCACAATCACTCCCAGTACAATCTACATTTTAGTACTTCGTTCTTTCCCTTCTAAACCCTGGGACAGACAGGACAGTGAAGCTGCTGCAGGGCACTGGTGGCAGTGGAGAAACCACATTCAAGAGGGTCCGTCTACCTTACATTTTGAAAAACCTCCTCTCAAAGCCACTACTCAAATACCTTCTGCCCAACAAGTACTCATTACAGGTTCTCGCTCCTAAATTAGAAGTTTCAACTCAGAAACTAGTGAAAGTCTTGGAGCAATAACAAGAAGTCAGCTTGACAGAACACACAGCCTCATTCTAATGAACTGACTTGTTTTCTTGTATAGTAGCTGAAAAAGGAAGAAAGAATGCTAAGTCCATCTGCTATTTAACAAGCAGGAAAAAGATTACTCATGCAGTAAGTGTTAAACTTGTAACAAAGATCAGCAAAGATCAGCTAAACCACAGGATACTGCGTGAGATACTCAAGAGTTCATTGTTTTTAATTTAGGTACTTTTGTCCTCCTGTATGTGATACAGAGGAAGTAAATACTCATCATAAAATACAATAAAATACCCCTGTACAGAGGAGGTGAATCAAGCAGGTACAATAAAACCCCATCACTTCAAAAGGAGAGAAGGAAGTACTAAGAGCCATGAATAACCAAAAGTCTGCTGAGTTACTAACTGCATAACTGAGTTCACCAATGCAGTTCACCAGTTCAGCATGGAAAAGCAGAGAGGCTCCTAATCTTGGTCTTTTCAAACAAGACAGCAGTCTGATGTTAGCTCTACTTCAGTGACAACTGCTGAAGTATGAACCATGACATATTTTAAAATGCTTTGAAATAAACACCTGATATTAATGCTGCAGCGTCACAATAACCTAGATATGCCCTTCAGAGGACGTCACCTCAAAAAAACTGAATACCAGTGAATCTTGGTATCTTCTTGCTCTGGAATACAACAGAAAGTTAATTCTGTCATGGCAGCTGGCTGCATGTGTGTAGATGAAAAGGAGAAAGACTGACTGCAGACCTGTTTAGTGAGAACAGCTGAACAGAGTCCTCTTGTTTATATGCAAAGTAGGTTCCATGCCTTGAGCAATTTCCTGCTCTGTCACTAGCTCCCAGGATTTTTTCACTGCTATTTATAACCAGCAATCACAACTGGTACCTTCATGCAAGAAGGAAAGCTGACAACAATGGACACAATTCATAAATAAAGCAGAGTAGTACCTGGGAGACAACATCTGATTATTTATATTCTCTGCAACTCTCATTAAGAAACATACACTACAACAGTAAAAATGCTAAATGTTCTTTCCATATAAGATCAAGAGGAAATTCACAGATCCATTACACTTGTGCATTACTACCTATTTCCTACCCACATGCTAGACAATGTTAGGATTTGATTTAAAAAGAAAAACTTAAAGCTGAATCTTTTCTATTCGCTATGAGAAACTATTAAAATTAGTCTACTAACTTCTGCAATCTAACCATTAAAACCTGATTACTGGTATTACTCAAGCTATATTTGGAAGTGACTGTAGCTGCAAAAAAGTTATCAAGCAAACTGAAATGAAACTCCTGTTAGTTCATTCCTAGACAAACATGGTCCCCTTTTCTGACAGAGATCTACAGTTTCTGTCAATAAAATAGTTATGTTATTCCACCTGATAATTTCAAATCTCCATTGCTTTTCATCAGATTGGGGGATCTGATCCTTTTTAATAAGAAAAGAAGCTATAGTTACTCAGGAAGAAGAAACAGTCCCTGAAGACTTCTCAAGTGAATTGTGCACAGGCAGAAGCATGCTTACTACAACTTGGAGTTCAAGTTTACAGCATACTTTAGTTCTATCAAAACAAATGCCACATAAATATCCATTTCTCAAAAAAGGGAAACATAACAGAAAAAACAATAGTTCATTCCTTTATTAAGGCAAATTTGATAACTTGGAAGTTTCACTTTAAAATGACCTTTTGTTTCATGCTAGCTTTGCCCAGTATCCCCATTTCTGAAAGCAGTGTCATAAAAACCTGAAGCTCTCTTAACAGTAAGGCGCACGCAATTCAAATGAACTAAGCACTATTTATTTGACCTTAAAGTTCCTCATCTTACTGCTGTTATGTTAAAGGCCTGCACTTCCCAATAAGTAAGTACCTATGGGGTGGGAGGAAGCCTAGAGTCCATTTCCATACACAAGTGCTAACACACGAAGTATTAACAGCGTGTCTTGGGTGCCCCATTTCCTTTGCTAATACCATGCAGCTCATCTTCTTACCTTCATCTACTGAGATAATAAGAAACCTTAATGTCACTACACGTTGATGGAACAGCTGAACAGTAGCAATACTGCCTACTTCTGAATATGGGATAAAAGAGAGCAGCTGAATCTCTTAGGGAGGTACACAATAAATAAAGGAGACTCACATGGATGGAAATAATCTTCACCTTACTCCTTTTGTCTGCACTTAGAAAAATTCATCTTTCTGACCATTTTGTCAGTTAAGACTGATGGGGTTCATCAAGTGAGATACCAATTTAGAATGATTAAAGGATTAACACATTGCCTCCTCTTGGTCATATATTTCAAGTCATGGAGCTCCAAGAGTAGTAATTTCTTAACACAAAATTAGTGGGGTTAAGTGGTGTAAAGCTATGCACACAAAATAGGTAAAGCAATAAAATGTGGCACTAATGATCTGTAATTCTTTCCTGAGAGGCCAAAAAAACCTAACAAAACATACTTTGCATTTTTGTGACACAGACAAGCTCTGGATTTTTTGGACTGTCATCAAATCACACAGATCCAACAAAACAGGACATTAAGTTATGCACTTGCTCCCAAAGACACAAATGCTTCAGACGAGGGCAAGGGAGGAGGGTGCAGCAGGGGAGAATGATCCAAAAGCCTCTGTCGATGACAGCTTTTAAGCAAATGTTTTCCAAATGTAATTCATAGGGAAGGCATTTGGTATTTCTCAAAATATCTGATTAGATACACGTCAGAGGAACTGGGAGACCAGAAGTGCCTTATTACACGCAAATTTTAATTTAATTCTAGTATAAATGCTTACAATTGTATCTTGAAGTGCAGAAATGCTTTAAAACAAACTTAGATTCCCTGCTTCATTCAGTGCATGGTATGTACAATGCTGAGTTGTTGCACAGGTTTTCAACATTTGTTAGGTACTCACTATTCAGAATGGGGCTTTATCAGATTTTCATTTTGCTAATAAAGCCTCCTCAGCTTCTTCTACACAACACAATTTTTCCCCTTGACTGATTAAATACAGTTGGATTATAGTTACTCTTCTATTCCCTTAACATTTCTCTTTCAGTACTCATGATACACTATATTGTAAGAGTTTTAAACAGGATTTTATCAAACAGAGCTTGAAAACCAAAGAAGAAACTGTCCATTAATTCTTTGAAGTGCCTTACATTTGAATTCTTTAAATTCCCTTAAATAGACATTTCTCTTGTCTTTCTACTCATGTTTTATTAATCTCTTTTAAGATTTGTAAAACACCAAATATAGGCATGGCCACTGAACTATTCGCCTGAAGACTAAAGAAACCCTTGATGCTATACTATTTTTTTTCTTTCTTTATATTTTCACCCAATATTAAGTTTCTATTTAATTATAATGTTATTTTTGTTATTCTCCCATTGGAAAGTTTAATTGCATTCTCCTCTTGAAACAAATCCAACCCAAGCTCCATGTATGTCCTGATACAGGCATAGAGGCTAAGGGCATACAGAAGCACTGGTATTAAATACTGTCCTTTTTTCATCATATACAACAGGAAAATAAGAAACCAAACAAAAAAAAGGAACAGAAATCTTTGATTAGTCTTCAGGGATTTTTCTCATTTTGCCATAGATCAAGTCGAAAAGCCACACAATCAGGTCTGCACTCATTCCAGACCAGAGTCCACTACAGCATGCACAAATGGGAAGCACCACTCAAGCAATCACACTATTCCCGATAACTTAGCCCATAGCATGAAAACTATTTGGGTAAGACATTTCTATCAGGTATTTCAGGAGCAGCAAGGCAAGCTGTAGATCATCAGAGGTTTCTGAAATTCTGCTCAGTTTGGTTTTACCCAACTTCCTAGGAAACCCTGACAAAGGAAGCCGAGATAAGTAGAGAAGAAGTCCTATAAAGAAGCACTCTCTGATGACTACAGGATTGCTGTCACAGACTCCTTCCAAACCATAAGCTTTCAGACTAAGTACTCCTTGACAGCTCTGGGAAAGCAACTTGTTAGTCATATGACAATGTACTACAGAGTTTGTGTCCTCATGTACTACAGTCATGGCTAGGCTTCGCGAACGAAGATTTGGGAAGGGCTCTACCCACATTTGTTGCAAGCGCGTTGGTGGCTAAAAAGGCCAATATGAGATAGGCATGACCAGTGGCAAAAGGCGCAACAGAAAAACTCCTTAGATGGTGTATTCTGCAAGGTACGATTCTTTCTGCGTTGTCTATGTACTACAATACTGTCAAGATAAATATCAACTTCATGCCTAAAAAGTTTGCTAATTTGTATAGCAAATCAATTCAAAATTTAATCTACAGTAACACACACAAAATACAAACAGATAATTTACACTTACACACACAAAAAACCAAACCCAAAAAACCCCAAAACAACAACAACACAACAACAAAGAAACAAGCCACAGTGTTAACCAGATCTGTTATTATTGGTCTCCACGCAAAGTTTTATATCTTTCTTCAGGTTAGCAAAAATGCCTATTCCAGTCAAAAGGATGAAGGGATGTCAGTCAGCACACCTCCTACTGTGTTTACATTCAGAGCAAGAAAAGCTAAGTCAGGCACTTTCCATTTGTTTAGTAAAAAGAGATCATGGCAATCCCATAGCTAGACTGTTGTGTACTTGCAAACAGTTTCCAACTGATAAAGAGGCAACTGGGAACTGAAGGACCATCTCAGGTGCCCAAAGAAAAAAAAAAAGACATCAAAGTCAGATAAAATGACAGACTCGTTGAGGAAACAAACCAGAGCTGACAAAAGCCCAGAATAAGGGCGTTTTTTCCAATGATTCACTTTATATGAAATAAAGTGACTCAACTAACTTAAATCATGAGGTGTATAGATTTGAATACACCTAGGAAATACACCTAGCTTTTTGTTTTCAGCTTCTGTTTTCTTCAATTACTGTTGCAAGGGAATGTCATACAGACTTTCTCAGACAAAACAAAGAAAACCACTGAGACAAGATGAAGAGCTTCTGCAAAGTACAATCCTCCTGCTCCAAACTCTGCTCCAAAAGGATGTGAACTGAAGTTCATAAATGTGAACTCCAAATAATTTGGACTATCATGAAGCAAACAAAAAGGAAAAGTGAAGCAAAGTTTAGGTGCCAGCAGACTTCGCTGTAAGTTCAACAACGTCAGACTGCTTCTACTATTGTTGAAGACACCCACGATCACTCCCGTACTAGCTCAGCAGAAGCAAATTCAACAAAAATAACCAGTTCTGAAATTTAGGAAAATATTGAATGCAAACTACAGCTCATCAATGCTATCACCTTGAGAAAAGCAAAAAAAAAAAAATCTGTGGAACATACTCTTAGGTCAGCTGTACACACAAGACTGAATACAAACTATGAGTCATGTGTTCCCATCCCTAAGCTTGTGTGTTCACCTATCTCCCTCTGAATGACAGGAACGGGAGAAAAGCCTACACAAAAAATATATAAAATGGATACTCCTTGTCACCACAACCAACACACACATTTTATTTGTCAGGATTGTGCCTCAGGATCAAGATGTTACATTACCAATCAGTAATTGGTAAGGCTGTGCTCCAGCTTTATCATCAAGCCTATCTCATGCATGATGAAGACTGCAAAGTTAAAAACTACTGATCTGCAGTATACAGACCCATGTACTATCCACTCAGCTGTGTATGTGCCCAACCTAGACAAACAACTGTGCTGCCTGAGATGCTGTATTTCCAGTGATGGAAATACACTTAGAACATTTGTAACATGCTACTCCAATGTGCTACACTTCCTCTTCTAATAGTTGGTCCAGAAAGAATAAAACCAATACTATCTATCAAAGCCATTCTTGTCTTTAAATTTATAGCTGAGCTGGTCAAGACAAAAGACAGATATACTTTCCTCCGTTTTCTCTGAAAGTAAAATGGTGTTGAAAATAATGAAACAGAGACAGATATTCACTTTTACATCCTCTCTTTTCCAAAGTTTTGAGTGTGTCACTTAAAAATACATAACACAGCTCAAAGTATCAAGACAAAGCCATGGCTTGCAGTGCAATGTTACTATCTGAAAAACCATCCTTAAATCAAGTACTGTACAAAGTGGGCCCAACACTTACATTACCGTCTGAAAACTAAATTTGCTGCATTTTAAACTACAGAGATCCAAACAAAAAACCCCACACTGCCTGAAGTGAATAAGCAGATGAGTAATATGTCGGTGTATGACAGACAGCCTTAGACACAATATTAACTTTACTCATATTAACTAGAGAAACGTGTTAGCAAACATGTTCTCATTCCCTACTCTCACAAATGGGATATCAGCAGGGTTTTCCAGGTTATATTTCAAAACTAAGGTAACATATAACAGATATTAAGCACAAGTATATTCATCAAACAGGCAAAACACTTTGCTTCTACTGTAAGCTCTGCCTGTGTAAGATATCATTACCACTTTTCTAATGGTTCCTTGCTGAGTAGCCTGCTTTTACATTTGCAACACTTTACTGTGAAAGTGACCAAACTTCCTCCCACTTGCATGGGTTCCCTGCACAGACTACAATTTGGCCACGACTCAGCTATAAATCCCCATCTCACAATGAACTACTCATTAGAGAAATACAGAATACAGTGCCTGAAAAAAACCCACAACTTCCATCTTTTCACAGACAAATTGAAACACCAGTCTCATTATCCTGCTAATGCTTTCAAGAAACTATCAGGACTTAATCGACTCTCAGAAATAAATTCTATTCTAGCATCCCTAGAGAAGCCCTTGCCCTTGCAAATTTTCAGAAAATGTTATTATTTTAATAGGCTGTTAAATAAGAATGAGAAATTAAATTGAAATTATTATCAAAAATACAGACTTGGACAAAAAACTCCACATTTGAAATTAATGAGACACACAGTTTGAAGTACAGCAAAAAAATTTACAGTTCAATTCTAAACATGGCACCAAGCAGAAAGGGAGAAAATTAATTAATGAGTCATTAAGTACTAAGTCAAGGCTCAGTGTGTTCTCATTAGCCAAGTAGGTTAGACCCAATTAAAACTTAGTACAAGATTCACATACAAAGCCTAAACTGGCTGTTGCACACTGTCAGTATTTAGTGTGAGTGCTGACCACTGAACCCACACAATTCCAGAAAAATTCTCATGATAGATGCTTACTACTTTTAAACACAACAAAAAAAGCATGTCAGTGCTGTATACCCTTCAGGGTATTATATTCTGTAAAGACACTAGGAAAAAAATCCAAACTAATTCCTGCTTAATTTTGACATCCACTTGATGCCTGCTCAGCTGGTGTTACGAAAAAAATTCAGGAGCCGTAAGCTGGGGTGAGATAAGAAAGGGTTTAATTATGCCAAGGCAATAGATGTTATGACGCGCACGCCGGGCTGTGCCCGGGATGTTACATTTATAACAATATTTGGCCAATCCTAAGTGTGTCCACCCTATAACTTTTGGCCTGGTCCACCCCCTGGCCCGCCTCTCGAAATTGGGTCTGGGGTGCTTTTTGGGACCCCCTCTTCATCATCTTCTTCATCTTCAGGGTACAGAGAGCAGGGTGACCCAGTTCTTTGACTCTGTCCTGCGGTTTAGGCCAAGATACAAGCGTTCTCCAAACAAGACAGGCCTGCCTTGACTAAAAGACTAAACATTTTCTACTAGATATGGGGATAGGGTGATATAGGGAGTATGGAATGGGGTGAAAGGATTGAGGAATATAAACTAAGGGATACTACGGGGAGGAGGGAGAAAGGGGTTTATTTCTAAAATCTACTTCTATTACCTATAAAACTTGTAAGGCTTATAAAATTAGAAAAATGAAAAAACCTTAGGGGTTTAAGGCATCAACTTTGTGACTCATCACAACATCACTGATGTTTCTGCTGGCTATGCAGCATATACAGAATCTGCTATCTGCACTGGTGATGGGCTTGCTGTGTAGAAACTCAGGGAGAGAGAGAAGGGAAGAAAGCACAGGTACTACATTACAAACACCCTCCTCAGCCAAACTAGGTAACAAATTGCCCTCAGGACACTAAAATACCCCGGAAATGTTTATAACACTTGGACTGGAGAGGCAACAGCCTCCAGTGGCAAAATGACCAACTGAAAAAAAAAAGTACCAAGCAACAACACTGCATGATTTTAATTGTTTGCTTGATTCTCTAAGTTAAGGAGGTTGCAGCAACAAGACAGATTTAAAACTGAAGGAACCAAAAGAGTAGAAGTCTGCATGCCTTCTATCTGGGGAAAAACACTACCACTATACAAGGCTCTCATTTCATTCTTTCAATTTATTCTTCTTCTAACCCTCAAGACACATGCCCAATCATGAAAAAAAGCACAATTCAAACAAAAACAAGGCCTAGAACAAAAAACACCTCTTCAGCATTGAGTATTCATATCTAAATGATATGAAAAAATACTACAAAAAATTAAAAGGCCAGAAAAGCTCACAATTAAGAGCTTCCTATTATTGCTGGCCTCCCTAATCCATGGGTGTCAAGGAGACAAACATCTATCTGTTCCTCTCCAGCAAAACCAGAATCGTATAATACATTTTTTATACCACAAAATATTTGCAGAAAATGTTTTTGTGAGCAAAAGACATAGGTGAATTAAATAATCAAAATTAAAATGCCTTGTCAAGCATCACAGTTTGGAAACATACCTTTTAGTGAAGTTTAACTTCAAATCCAGCATAGCAGACTATAATACTAAGAACAGGACCAGAAAGAGCTACCCCTCTGCTAGTTTACATACCTTTGTCCTTCTTGAAGTCCAAAGCATCTTCCTTATCTGTCACTATTTCCTTCATATTGATAATGCTTTGGTGATTAAGCTGTCGAAGAATCTTAATCTCTCGAATAGCTGTAATTGGAAACCCTTCCTTTTCATTATCCAGACGTACTTTCTTTAGTGCCACCATTTCCCCTACAAGAAAATTTAAATAAAAAACATTAAGATCAGTGATCAAACAACAAGATTTTAGTATTGGGTTTGTTGGTTTGTTTGTAAAACCCTTCCCATTTGTTACTATTTTTGAATGGACCTTATGTTCAACATTCTGATGCTTGCACCAAACATTATGCTGAACAGAAATCAGCATCACACAGTGAAGCAAAACTACCAATGGCAGTTTTTAGGTACCCACTGTAAGGCCTATCTTCTTCCTCCTGCATACCCCACTCGCCTGTCCCAATATCCCACACCATGCCTACCAATAAAGAAAGAGTGATTATCAGCAGCAGCTTCAGAGACACAGGTCTGTGACTGCTCTGGGTTTCTTAATACTACATCTCCACAGGTCAGAATGCATGTATCTAGCCAGAAATACTACACAGTTCAAGATATGAGGCAGATGACTAAATTCATCAGTATAGTTTCTACAAGCAGAAGTGTAACTGCCATATTTACAGTGAGGAAAAATTTCCCTTACTATTTTACTGCAGGGTGGGCTGGATGAAACTGGATTCTGCAAATGGCAGGAGCATGATCTACTCATGATGGGGGATATCTAAAGACTACATACTAGCTCAATCATTTTGTTCTTGGAATTTTATTGACAGCAGAAGTATATTTGTTAGCTCCAACAAGTACTTATCCTACAGCAATTTATATGATACATTCAGAATAGATCACATTCCAGCATGACACAACATCCACTTGCCTTAATGCTACTCTTCACACAAAGCTAATGGAAAGTTTGTTGTATCTGCATGGACCCATTAAATGCAGAGAGCAACAACTTCTACTGGAAGTTAAGAAATGACTGCCACACACAAACAACCTGAAGTTTGCCCAAGAGGCAATATGGTTATGGCAGGATTAAAAAGTGAAATGTCCAAATAGAATCTCAGGAGAGCAGGAAGAAGATCCTAACAATGATTTGCAATGGTTCTCAAGGTAAAAATCTGTGACAGTTCAACTTTAGTTCTTAAATTTGCAAACTGAGACAAGCATAGGTAAATAATGAAGGAATTATAATTACACTGCTTATTCTTCTGGAGATCAGAAAGAAGGAACTGAGGCTGGTGTGTGGTCCTATGTGATTCAGCTACTGCTGAAGTAGAAAATAATCCAGCATTCAAAGCATGTGCAAATAAGCCAAAAGGGCAAGCAGCAACAGAAAGAAGTACTAATTGAACATAAAATGATCCAGCAACATACAGCATATATGAAGAATTTGGATGCAATATCTATTTAGAAGTAGTGACAATATGCTTGTGAATCATAGTAGTGACTGATTGCTCATTTCAGCAAGAGTTTAACAAGAAATTTAAAAATAATGACACTGTTGTGAAGTCAGTTATACTGCAAGAAAAACATCCAATATGCAACTCTTCAGGGCTGTGTTGCACAGAAGCAGATTCTCTTCCTGCTGTCAGCTAGTGACTACTGGAGTACAAAGAACAACAATGACCAAATCTCCTGCATGGCTTCTTTCACTCTCACATCCCTTTACAAACTTGATTACTGTTTGCCAACCCGTCTAGGGTGCCATTTAGTTTCCCCAGAATATTAAATTTCTCTTCTCTACTAGTTCAATTCTGTACAGAGCATCAAAACTCAAGAAATAAGAATTAGAATTTAAGACTACTCAGTTTGCCTTCAGCCGCAGCTTTACAAATAAATGATTTTCCAATGCAGCAAATGATTTCTTATTTAGACAAATGCTAGATAAAAACTGAACAAACACATCAACAACTAAAAACTTTCCAAACATTAGAGGGCAGAATACCACAAATTTTACTCAATATAAAATGAAAACTACAACAAAACCATCCCATTCACTTAAAATTACAGGATTACATTTACTTTTTTGAACTTACCTGTATCTTTATCCCTGGCTTTGTAAACTTGGCCATAAGTGCCTTCACCAATAATACCAATGATATCAAATTTATCCACACAGCGCTTTCCCCAGTCTATTTCTTTTTCTTTCGTTTCACCATGTCGTGGTCCACATATTCTAGAAAGCAACAAATATTTCTAAGAATACAGCCAATATATCTAAAGGTTGTCTTAACTTTGAAGAATCCTCAATGCTAACTATTTGAAATGCTACTAGTTAACTGTCTTACTACCATTAAGTGGCAATAAACTATGCAGTTTGAGTCAAGCCTCTCTAATATTAAAACAGGTCATTAAAAATCAGAATTCTACTGACAAGAATATATTTTAAAGAAACTATTATCATTTCTACTTGCTTGATAGTCTTAAAAGGTCTAATAAACATACTTTGGTCTTCTCTTGCTGTGTAACTGAACTGCTGGTTTCTTTTCTTCAGGACTTTTGGGTACCTCAGCTCCTCCAGGCAACTCAGGTGGAAGTGGCAAGTCTGCGAGCAGATGGCGAAGTTTCTTCTCTGTTTCTTTAACTGACTTCACTGAAATATTCTCTCGCAAACTAATAAAAAAACCCCACAATTTTGCTAGTAAGTTGACAATAGCAGAATATTAACATACATAAAGGAAAACATATTAGAATATTTTTTTAAAAAAATGCATTCCAGACTATGAATGCACCAACATTTGAAATCTCTGCTCTTAGAATTTGGACTTGGATAACAGGCTCACAAATAGCTCTCCTGAAGATGCATAGGTAACTACCACAGTTCTACAGAAGTGTAAAATCAGATCTTTCTGGTGAAAGCTGAGGTTAGATGACACAGGAAGCCTTACCAGGCTAGACTTCTGCCACACAAGCTTCTTTCCAAGCTTTTGGCTTAGACTATTAAGAATATTTAGAGCCCAGGTGCTGCCAGACTTCAAGTGTAGTGGTAAAATCTGTACTCTGACTGGCTTCTCATATAAAAGAGAAGACCATCCTAATCCAGTTCTCTGTGAAGTTGGTCTTCACAGATAATGAACTTTGTGGTTAGAGTAACACTGCAGGGCATTACCAGGCTGTCCACACCACCTCATTTAGAGATTCTAACCTCATACATCTGCTGAAACACTCCAGATTTAACACGTTTGTAGCGATGAGCATGCAAATCAAGTGGAAAAAAAAAATCAGATAAAAAAATTACTAGATGTTTTTATTACTGATATCTGACCAATTTTTAATCAACCATAATTAGACAACAGATACTGTCAATCTCTGTCTTGAGAAAAATCCCCAAACACAAACACATGTACAGCAATGTATTCCTTCAGAAATTACTAAACACAATGATCTTAGAGAGATGCCCTTCCCATTCTAATGGGGAAAGTCTGAAAACATCATACTTGCTGTAGGATTTTTTTTTAAGCATGTGGTTCCATTTTACCAGAACTTCCTTTAGCTAGATTTGCGCAGCTACTGCATATCCAGCAGTTTTAAAGCCAGGATCACCTCTAAACTTTATAAAATTACATAATTGTTCCTCCCCAGAGGGCTCTCTCATAGTATTCACTTTTTAAATTTCAAACTGTCACCATATCAAGAAAACTGAGTCATGCTTTGAGGGGACATTTCCCACCACAGCTGCATTTGCCAAATCACACTATTCTAATGTCAGCATCCTCCTCTGTGAAGGTTTATTTGCAACTTCCTACCTGCTTAGTTTCATAGATAAAGCAGAAATTCTGTAAATGGAAGGATATTGCCAACTCCCATCATGGAGAATGCATATTTTTTTTTAATTAAATTGCAATTAGCAATTTTTATGTAGTCAAATAAAGCATTCCAGTGTTTTGCATGTGTCTATGCTTCCCCATGAAAACAGAACATTTTAATGTCTTTTACCACTTCTCAAGCTGTCACTGCCCAATTTTAAAGAAGCATCAGAAGGAAGCATATACTGCCTTTACCACAAATGGTTAACATACTATAAAGAATAAACCACGTTAGCACAGTGCATGCAGTTATCCCAGTAATGAAAAACTCTTATTTTTGAAGTTCATATATTTGTATTTCTCTCACAATTTTGCCCCCAAATTTTCAATATGAGTGAAATGATAATATATGAAAGGTTCTGAAGCAGATTTTAAAAGTGGCACATGAAAACAGAGGCAGCCAAGAGCAGTCTTTTTTTTCAGGTCTGTTAAATCACACATCATTGACAACCAGGGCAATTTTCCCTTTCAGCTAACTTACACAGTGGAACAGCATCAAGTTTTCTTTGTTGGCACAGTCTCCCCACAGTAACTATGAGCCCAAGGTAAATACCTTTGTCCTCTTCCACCTTTAAAAAAATTGATCTTTTTCCTTTGATGGCTTCAGCTTTATCATGACTTGTAATCACAACTATTCTGATCTGAAGTTTATAACATCCTATAGGTAAAACTAAGCAAAGCATAAAAGATATTTTATTACTTGTCATTAATCTTTCTAATGCAGCTGTTTGCAAGTATTAGGGTTTGGTTTTTTTTGGAAAGAATGAGCCCAGTGCTGAAAAAACCACAACTTAATTGTAGCTTAACTCCTCTGTACAGTTTCGCTAAACTTAAACAGGCATTGCATAAAAAAATAATAATCAGAAACAATTAGCTGGCTTCAATATGAAATCTCATTTCATATTATTGCAATTAATACTGCAACGCCAATTATATTTAGTTAAACTAGTTAGCCTCGTTTTTAGTTAAAACAGTGAATCTTGCTCACAGTGTCAGGAATCTCATTTACCTAGACAGGATGGCTTTGACACACATTTAAATGCAATCATACATTTGCCACACAGGTATTCAATTTGCTACAGTGCTGAAGGGCAAGAAACAAGATTGGTTTTAGCAGTAAAAGAGGAATGTATCTATCTAATACTGTTAGGTTGCATTTATTTCCCAAGGTCTCCTATGCACCTTAATGTGTAATACAGCATTAAATTACTAGCAAACCAAAGAGAAACATTTACAGCTCTAGCTAAAAATGTTTGGTTTACTTGTGAGAAAGTGATTTCTTGCAAACATGTGAGAGGTATGTAACACCATGAGTAAAACCAAAAGAAACTTTTCTCATCACCAAACCGAAAGAAAAATAGTAACTTACAGCCTCACAGCATAATTTTCCAATACAAATCACAGCACATATTCTCTCTTTGGACTAGGAACAGACTTAACACAGTTAAAACTCAGATGACACTTGGAAGACAGAAATTAATTTCTTCACTACAGACCATTTTTTACACTTCAAAAGTTAACAAAAAGGATAAGCCATGAACCTCATTTCCATTACACATACTCTATTATAATACTACTGAACTTTGAGATAAATTACACTAAAATAATGCACAACTATAAAACAATTGCCTTTCAAAGGAAAAACAAATCTTTACCTCAAACTCCAGCTAAATAAAGAATTTTCACATATTGCTGCTGAATTCAACTTTTCCCCAGAAGTTTATGTTCACACAAAACTTGAAATAGTGAATCCTTGAATGCATCCTTGCATTAGTCCCAAAGCTATTATGTACCAGCAATTCTAAATCACCTCTTCAGTACACTTTTTATTGAAAGACTCCTCCAACACAAAATCCTTCTCTTTTCAAGAACCAATTCATTGCAGTCTACAACTTCCTTATGAGGGGAAAAGAAGGGGCAGGCACTGATCTCTTCTCTGTGGTGACCAGTGACAGGACCAAAGGGAATGGCCTGAAGTTGTGTCAGGGGAGGTTTAGGTTGGATATTAGAAAGAGGTTCTTCACCCAGAGAGTGATTGGGTACTGTAACAGCCTCCCCAGAGAAGTGGTCACAGCATCAAGCCTGAGAGAGTTTAAGAAGTGTTTGGATGATCCTCTCAGGCACATACTGTGACTCTTGGAGATGGTCCTGTGCAGGGCCAGGAGTTGGACTCAACGATCCTTGTGGGTCCCTTTACTTAGCATATTCTGTGACTCTGTGATTAAGTTATGTTTAAGATCAAATTCCTAACTAATAACCACACCTTTAAACACAGTTAAACAACTGAAGAGCAGAAACAAAGTACATAATGCATCGGCCTGATCTAGCAAATAGGTTTGTATTTATTTTGTGAAGGAAATAATAACAACAATATCAACAAGAATAAAAGAACAGATAATAACAACAACAATAATAAAAAGGAACAGACAACTCCAAAAGCAAATCTCTGTCACAACTCACCTATCAGTTTCTTTGTCTTCAGGCAGCGTGGGAGGCAAAGGCAAGGGTGGCAGTGTGGAGGTTGGTAGTGCAACAATTCGATCCTTTTCCTTGGCTACTACACTTGGTGCACTCTGTTTGCTTTTCTCTCTTACAGTGACCAGTGGCTGTTTTACAACAGTTAATTTATTCTCTTTTACTGCTGCAGGCTTCTGTTTAGTAACTTTGTCTGCAATTAAATTATTTTCCCCTTTTGTTTCAGGAAGTGAGACCTTTGCTTTTGCCTTGTCGTTTTTCAGACTTGCGCTGCTGGTAGGAGAAGGCGTATGCTCAGTTTTGATCTTCTTCAGATCCTTTACGTTGTTCACTTGAGGTGCACTTACAGCAGCATCAGTGCTTCCCTTAGTAGGTGTTGACGTATTGGAAGCTTTTGCACTGGCTTTGGCTGCCTCAGCAGCTCTTGCTTTTTTGTTTTTGTTCAGCTCAGCAGCCAGGCTACTCTTCAGAGTCAATGTACTAGGAGAAATACTTGAATGACGACTTCTGGATCTGGACAATCTGTGTCTGCTACGAGACCTCGAGTGCCTTGATGAATATGGACTTCTGCTTCGAGATTTTGCTGATCTCCTGTTTCAAGAAAGTAAAAATTTATCCAGTTAAAATTAAGTCTAGCTGCTTTCCCAGCATATCTGCTTTTTTGACAAACTACATTTTTTAAACCAACTATTATCACCATGCTGTCGAATAAACAGAAGTCTACTAAATAGGAAAGACCATGCATTAAAAAAATAAAAATCTATAGTTAATCAATGAAAATTCTACACCTAAACAGGTTGTTAGAAAACATTACAACTTTCTTAGATGTAGTTTCTCCTGTTACAAAACTGTGAAATACAAGAACACCTTTATAAGGACAGCAATGTTCTTTTTTCCTCACTACTTAAGAGATATTTTTCTCCTTTAAGAAAATCTCATCCTATGCAACTTTTACAAACACCTTTAGTATACACAGTATTTGAGAAAAATTCAGTTGACTACATAAACAGAGTTCAACCAAATTAAATTAATTTTACAACAGAAAGAGAAATGTAAACACAACGCTGAACCAGTAATTGTAGGAACTTCTTAATTTTCACTTTCATAAATGTAATTAAAATAAGTCAATTGAAAAAAATGAATACTAAGGGCTACAATATAAGCAACTAGAAGACAGCAATAAATCTTAGCTTTCCTTTTTTGAAATCTAATTGCACACTTTAAAAAAAAAACAAAAAACAGAAGGCCCCCAAAAAACCACAAGTACCTAATACTTGTTACACCTACTGATAAGCAAACATAATCCACAAATGAGCCTATGTTATAACAGCATCTGAATGCAGAAACTAATAGAAAGAAAAAATATTTAAATCATCTACAAAATCATATCAAGAAAACAACCTAGAATGAGGGCAGGTGTGTGGGGGGTAATCTTAACAGTTAGAAAAGTAAACTTTTAATGTCCAAAAATACCATTTAATATGAATGACTTTTTCATTAAAAATTTCAAAATATCCTAATTTGCCTAGTAGTAGTTTTGAGTCAGTTCTTCATTTAAATGTAAAGGGAAAAAAATTAATTGAGGTGAAAGGCATGGAACAAGTAAAGTAGCCTAATCCACTGCTACTACACAGAAATATTATGAAATAAATGAAATTAAATGTAGGAGGTTTAATCCATTTTACCATACCAAGAACGGCAAGGATAATAATCAGATTTACAAGTATTTTCTTGATTAAAGTTTGATGGAGATCTGTTTTGCTAATCAATTGTAGGGGAAAAAAAATTATAATCAGGATTAAAAAAAACAGTATTCATCAGCTGGACAAAGAAAAAAGTATCAAGCAATAGCAAAAATAAGACTTTCTGAAGACAGATACATTTCAGAATTCAAAAGATAGCACCAGTGTATGGAGATTGCCAAAACAAAAATAAACAAAAACCCAAACCAACAAACAAAAAACCACCAATAAACAAACAAAGAGGAAGCCAACTACAATCCTTATGATCAGGACTATCCACCCCATATACAATTTAATTTTAGTGACAAATTAATTCAGTTCTAATTATCAAAACACGAAGTTACATCTCAATGCTTCAACTGAACAAATATTTAAGTTAGTAAAATAATAATTCTATTTCGTGTGCAATATTTACTAATTTCCAAACTTACACTCTTTTCTTTTTATAACACAAGAACTCTTATCAGTCTTCACAAAAAGTCACTGAGATCAATCAAGAAGTGACTGAAAACAATGTGTATGCACTAAGCACAAACTTCAAAATTCTATAGGTAAAACTGAAATTGATCCAAATTGCTAGAGACTCTTGAAAGGAAAAAAAATCAAATCGCAGATGAAGACAACTCTTGGAAACCAGCACAGTTCAATTCTATGCCAGGAGGTAGGTTTTATAGGATTTTCTGGCACAGCAGGGTAACAATGACAGATAGTAATAACAAAATAATAATAAAAATAATTAATTTTTTTACACTTTAAAAAAAATTTACAATTCTCCTTTCTGACTTTTCAACAAAACTTTAACGTTTGGTTCACTTCAGCAAAGAAGTATTAATGTCCACGTCTGACATACACCAAATAAAATCATAATATTGATCAGAAAAATTCTCTTGAAAACTCACTTCTGCTCCTTTATGAACCATTTTGCCAAAGGTATTTTTTTCATTATTATTTTGAAAATCTAAGTACTAAATACCACAGAAAATTTTCAGAGGCTTGGCCAAAGAGGAGTAAAAGTAAAAAGGTACAAAGTTTCTTTATACAGAATTCAGATGGGCTTGCAGGAAGAAAAAGGGAGGGCTGATAGAATGCATAAAATACACACACTTCAAATGCGTGAACTCTCTCCTCACACTGTTGTCTGACTTTCAGAGGGGAATTACAGCTTCAAGAAGTGTTACAGCTACAGATCTGTACCCGCCGTAGAATCGGTATAATTATATTTCTCCAGCATGAAGCACAAGCTAATAATTCCCTAAACTAACTTCTTATAAATGGTACATCATTTGCAAGGATGTCACTGACCTGTCTTGGAAAACATTTGCTTACATATCTTATTCATAAATCAGCTATTTAAACTGACACTTGCTCCAATTATCACTGGAACATAACCTCTATCCCAAGGACTGCATTGCAACCTGTACCAAATTTAAAACATGCCCTAAAGGTTTCAAAATCTGTTTCCTTTATAAGCATAATTTTGGGTTTCTTATTTGTTTTGATCAGTGTCTAATATTAAGAAAGTAATCAATGTAACAAACAGAAACATGGATGTATTTCCACATGCACTTGTAAAGAGATGTAGCAGTTTAAAACAATACAGTTGGTGAGACACTATGCCTGATTCTAAGACTATTTCTGTTCAACTTTGGTACAAAATAAAACAGGTTCGTTTAGTTCATTACTAAGGATAAAATGAAAAAATCTGTTCAAATTAGTGAAAACTGATTTGATCACCTGATCAGCTACCATAACTTGGTGAGGAAGAGACAGTTTTAGAAAGCTAGGCCAAAAAATAACTTAAAATTTTATACTTTCTTCAAAAACAAACATGTAAAGAAGCCAAGAATTGACAATGGATTAATGTCTGTATTTTACCAATAGTCAAGAAAGTCTGGGACATGAACGTGGATTTATGCAAGCTCAGAAAAAAACCCAAACATACTAACCGTTCTGCATCCTGGGTTTCACACCCCAAATGACAACTGCATACTTTTTTATGTATGGAGACAGCAAATATGGAAGACAGCAAATACACATGCATACAAATATTTAAGTTTCAGTCCCAATAGTTATTACAGCCCTTAACAGTGTATCAAAATGATAGCAGCCTAGTTATCAAATATGTTGACTGATTATAGTCTCTGCACTGGTTGAATTTTCCCAAAAATTTTTCACCAGTTCTGTCAGGAAAAAAGAATTGTTATATTACATAGTTCATGTCTGTGCTAATAATAAACTGAAACTTCCAGTGGCATCCCAAACACCTTAGCAAGAATCCCTTGTTGTACCTAACCCACTGAGCTAAACCCAAGAGTTACAGCGAAAACATGAACTAAATAGACAAATGCTGAATCTTAAGTAAAAAGCAGATTTGTCAAAGTGCTAGTTATTCAAGTTACAATGATAAAATCTGCTGTTTTCAGAAGCCTAATGATCTTTCAAACGCCCAGCTCTCACTTTTATCTATGTAGTTCAAAAATCCCAGTAGAACCTCCCAGGCTAGACAACTTATGTACAAGTTTCCATCTATAAAAATGGCATAAATCCAAAAATATGGATATGTTTACATGCTTATACAGCACTTAGAGTGGAGAAATATTGCCTTATGCATAATAAAACCAGTCAGTTCACTCTGTTCAGAGCTAAGATTCATGTGACTTAAAAGATGCAGTCTTAACAGCACAGGAATCAGCTCACACAACAGTCAGTGTCTGTCATTGAACAAGACCACTTACTGAGACCCTGAAAAAACACCAGTAGAGACATCTGAAATACACAGTCCTCTCTAAATCTTCTAGCAGGTTGCTGTTAAATGCGCATGTGTGCATACACATACATATAAAATACATTATCTGACATTCATCACCAACTATTTCATATTTAGTCAGCAGCTTGTTTTTAACACAGTAAAATGGAACAAAAGAACAGTGGCTACAATTGTGCTGCAAACAGCAAATAAATCTAACAATGCAATTGAAACTTCTCTTCCCCAAGTACAGAGAGATCAGGAAGTGCACTAAACCTAAAGGTCACTTCCCACTCTCTTAAACAAAAGCACCAGCATCTGCCAGTAACACACAGGGGGACAGACTACTAACAAGCCACTGCTTCAGGTAAGTTTCCTTTGATGCTTCTCCCTATTTGCACCCAGAAGTTCTGCCTTACTTACTTTTGCCACACACAGTCACTGCCAGTCTCCTATGAGCATTTTGAATTCATTTCACAAAGGTCTAGATCCCTACAGAGAGAACTGCCAGGCCTCTTGACATTCATAAAACCCCTTGTGAACCATATGCAGATTTCAATATGTTTTTATATTTTTTTTCTCTGCTTAATACAACTTACTTAGTCACTTTATTAAAAAAATTTAAGAGATCAAAGTGCTATTATTATTGTCAAAGTTACGAGATTCAAAACTGTTCCAATGTTCCTCCTTCCTTAAATGCAACATTCTAGGCTTCACTGGCTCACTAATCAATCACCAAAGAGTCAATTTATTAATGAATTTAACAAAGAAAAAGTCTACTGATGTAAAATCACATTCTCAAGCACAGAATGAAAGAATTCAAATTAGCATGTTAGAGTGTTGTATTTTACTATCTTGCTATTTGCAAGCACAGAGGAAAGAAAAATAACAGTTACATATGTCAGATTACTAGGAATAGAGATTTCACTCAGCTTACAAGGTGCTTCTTGCCTTGCTGCTTTTTTACGTGCTTCTTTCTGTCCCATTCCAATACTCCTTTGATTGTTATTACCAAAAAAAGTTACATTTTATTAAGAAATCAGAAAGGTCATGTGTTATCTTCTCATGTTTGTAAACCTGAAAACCTCTTTTCTTCTTAACTGCTTTAAGAGCAAGCTAAATCCAACATGCTAGTAGCCAGCTACACTGGCTGTTACCTAAATGCACACAATATTGTACTCAGAACACATTAGGGCCCATGAAGTTGAATAAGGGAAATAACTTTGCCAGTAACCTTTTGACAAGGCATAACACAAAGGGATTAATGAGAATATGAAGGGGAAAACAAGAAACTGAACAGTCTAAAGGAGGTTAAAACAACCACTGCAGTCCAGCTCTTTCATTTAGCAGCAGTTAATGCTGGACTACTGACTAAGCACTGCCAACTTCCACTGCATGGCAAGGTCATACTGTATTTGAAAAGGGAGACCTAAATTAATCAACTGGCTTCACTGCAAATCTTCCAAGACACTTATAATCATTCACTAACATAAACCACCTTGACAAAAAATTTTAGTCCAGAGCACAGCTTTTCCATGTTGCACTAACTGGCAAACGTACAATTCATTTCTTTAAGCCGTTACAGTAATAGTACTCCTTCACTTGATACCTTATTAATTAATTTTATTTATTTTCTCTAGCTTCTAGCTCAAGGTTACATTCTAAGCAGCTCTGCAACCAACCACCTAACTCAGCTGCTTTCTACACGAAGACTATATAACTTCCCTTATTGATTCAAACTGTAAATCTTTAAAAGGGTCTCCAATACATACAGCAAAGGAATACAGGAAAACTCCGAGCTTGGCTTTTATTTGTTTCTTAAACCTGCTTTATAACTCTATATTTTCAAATGAGAACTTGGCCTACCAAAAAAAAATCAACCAGTAAAACATCAAGTCAACTCAAAAGCTGTGTTCTAAACACATTTAAAGTTAAATTTGTCGAATGAGGACCCAGGAAAAGGAAAAACACATCAGTGTGGCTGGGGCAAAAGGCAAAGGCCACTGTTAATTAACAAAACAAATATTAATAAATTCAGAATAAGTAATAGAGTAGGAGTTTCAATATTCATTGGAAAAATTATCTACTCCAAACAGTGAAAACATACAGTGTCCCATTTGAAATTCTACAAAATACAGTTTTGCTAAACAAAATTAGAGCTTTAAGTAAAAAAAAATAAATCTTATTTCCGCCAGTCAAGGGGGAGAAAAAAGTCAAACTCTCTCTTACTCCTTCAAGTTCAAAAGTAGTAGAATTACTGGATTCAAAGTTATTTTCATATCAGTGTGTGAAACCATGTCTTCTCCATGTAGTAGGCATTTACTAGCTGAATATGTGTTTTACTGTCTTCCTATGCTTGTTGTGGTTTTGCATATGTATCATCCACATTTTGCAGAGCCTCACTATACAGACTAGCTACCAAGAGAGACTGAGATGGCTCTATAGTACCAACAAGAAAACAAATCTGTATCTTTCCTATAAGTAACATCCATACACATAGTACTACTATACTAGTAGTGCCCCACCTACTTACTTTTATCTAAGCAAATGGGTAGGTGTATCCAAATTTGGAAAAATGTGATTATTCATCTGTACTGCTAACTGAATTAAACGTGTGATCACATAACATATGACCTGACTGAAGTTACAAAAAATAGTTCTCTGAAAACTAGTTTAGGATGAAATTGTAGGAAGTGAGAGACTGTGTCTGCTTATTTTGTCAACCATGGGGTTTGGTTGTGATTTTTTTTTTAACCAGCTTATCATTAGAGAAAAATATACCTCATATTTTTAGAAGAATTTCCATTTTGAAAATATGCATGTGCTGCTTTAGAACATCTGTGTTACTCTATCCACAAGAAAAATCCATCAGCAGCAAGTAAAGAAGTTTTGTTAGACAAGTGAAAACAGCTCAAACATTCAGTTTGTCCAAACCACAATTTTTTCCTGCTATTATAATGGAAAAGGCAATTAGTCTGCCATTCAAAAAGAATTCACCAAGTGTGGAACGCACATCCATTGTCTTTGCTTCTCTTCAGAACCCACATCCAGGCAACATCACCTAAAGACAGTAGTCAGAGTTCACTGCTGCAATTCAAACCTCAATTCACTCAAGTGCACTGTTGCTGCTGCAAATGAGCAAAGCTGACTTCACTTTTCTCTTCAGCTGTTTACTAGAAGCTTCTCCCTAAGCACCTCGGACACCCAGATGAAAAAAACAGCACTCGAAACACGAGCCTTTCCAAGTGTGCTAGAAATACTTCGTTCTTATTTTCTACACCCCAAAATAACTAAATAATTTACATGACATCAGAGAAGACATATATGAGACATAGGATGAAAAGAGCAAAAAGACTTGCAGGCTGGAATACTCTGTCACATACAAAGTTCTTACTGTCTCGACATCATTACAGCTGGGTACAAGCCCAGAATTAAGTCTTTAAATCATCCAGATGAAGAAGACAGGTGCTGTAAGAAGCTGTTGCCTTCATGAAACTGTAATAGTCTATCAAGTCTAAGTCCACTATATCTTAAACAGGACAACAAAAATGTTCAGCATTTCGGTTGTAGCATCACAGAGTCCAGCAAAAAGTGATCATTATATAGTTTTCAGTGGTTAAAACAATAGTATGAAAAGCTTCCATCTTTATTTCCCTACTGCCACTGCAATACACATAATGTGGAATAGCTGTATGGGAGCAAAAAAAACCCAAACCAATAGCTTTGTTTTCTCCACAACTAGTAAACATTATGAACAAGTGAGTTAATCTTCACACTTTTGGTTTCTTTTGTTATCTGTGAAAATTATATTTTTGCAATGAATGCCCCATTGGGACAGACCAACATTTCTTTCTACATATAGCAACCTCTCATTTTCACTCAACCATTCCAATACCTCTCCTGTAAACCTGGCAGTCTGCATTTGTCAACAAGTAATTTATCTGTAAGCAGTTAAAAACTGGATGCAAATTACAGTCTAACTGGAGGGAGGAAAGAAGGTGGGAAGTCACATAGCTAACTCCTAGGAACAGATCTGCAGCTCAAGGATTTGCTCACCACAGAGTCAACAGAAAAATCAGGACATTTAAACTCTCACGCTTCAAAATCACAGACCCACTACCAACAGAAAAAAAGAAACACAATCCTCCTACAAAACTCTACTACAACCTGATCAGTCAAGGCATAAGACAGAACCCTAGGCTTAAATGGGTTGTCAATGTGACTAATACAGCTATTCCTAAAGGCAAACCTCACGTACATAATTTTGCTCATCATTATTAGCTTTCTTATTCCAGGATATAAGAAACTACAAAAAATAATTTGATTCCTAGAGCATTTAAATCAAGCTATGCAGATAATATTCCTAATACGCTATTATTAAAATAATTTTGAAAGTGTATCCTTAACCACTTCTAACAGACTCTCACAGAACAACATGCTGTTTTTCAGAGCAATTACATTGTTTTTTGCTCGAAACACTTTGTATACAAACCTGTTTCATACAACCACACCTTAAAACAATCACTATTTTTATCCCAAGGCACCTCTGTTCTCCCTCTCTCTGAACAAAACAGGACACAGCTTTGTCACTTCACTCTTTAAACAGTGCACCCAGGACAGCAGACCCTACCAACAGCCAGTGATACACAAGAACAGCTTCAGCATGTTCCCGGGATACACTGCAGGACACCCAAATAGAAACCAACACAAAGTACTCATTAGAAACACCAGAGAACAGTTCCCAGACAAGTGGTAACTGCCTTTTAAGTAAGGTAATGCCTTGTAAACAAAATTTTTGCCAGTAGAACGACAAATCGCCTGATGCATCTAAAATTAAAAGTCCAGACATGAATTTAAGTAAACCTATAAACAACGAGGTAACAGTAGGATTCCAATATAGGAAAAAAAAATCTTCAGTTATAAACACATACTGAGCAAGTACTTTAGATTCCCAGTGGACTTTGATGCAGGTTAAAATATTCTGAAGAGCTTTAGTTCCACCACAGTTTGTATCTGACTAGAAACATACAGCTCACATTTCCTCTCCATATAAAATTCAAAGTCATGCAATGCTGACTTTTACACCCTGAGTTCCCACTAACTGAAGAAAAAATTATTTGCAAATGCACTCCAATACATTCATGTACACAACCTTACTAGAAAAAGAGCTTACATTTATTTTCATTGGTCGTGTATTGCACAAAAGACAATTTAACACATCTTAACGTTGACTCACTTTCCTAGCAAAACAGAGAGTCTAAGTCTTTCTGTAGACCTCTAAAAAGAACAAGAAACACTTGTAAACACAAACTGCTGTCAGCTTGTTCTCTCTTTAGATTAGTGGGAATTAAACCAAACCCACGTGTATTTAATATGCATCCTATTTTACGGGGTAATAGCATACATAAAAACGCACCAGAGAATGTCTGTACTTTGTAAGTAAAGATTTAAAAATCAAAATTGGTCCTTCAGAAAACCTGTCCTCCAAGAAGCATCTTCCTTCAGTCACTCTAATCCGAGAATGTTCTCGTGCCCTTTTTACATTTAAAAGCCTTTTTCCAGCTAGGTGGTCTCCCACGGAGAGAAACTAGACGCAGAAGTGTTACAGACACAGGCAACCGCGTCTCCCTTTACCCCCAAGAGACAAGACAGGAAGATCTTTGTACTTGTCCCTCTACCCTTCCCCCCGCCCCAGCTTTCTGGCAGCAAGAGGGCAAGAGGGAGGGACTGTTGCTGAATGTACACCTCTCAGATCTTCCCTGCATCCCAGCCCGAGCCATGACTACCCTCCCCCACATACCGAGCCCCCTTCCCCGTTCCTCCTTCCCGCCCCACCCCGGCCCGGACTCACCGGATAACGGGGCTGTAGGGGCTCCGCGACCGGCGCCAGCTGCTGTAGGGGCTGGGTGACACATCCCCGCCGCGCTCGTAGGAGCTGTGCCGGCTGTAGCTGGGGGAGCGGCGGCGGCTGTAGGGGCTGAGCGGCGAGCGGGCGCTCACCGGGCTGAGCGACTTGCGGCCGCGCTGGCTCTGCGAGGAGCGGTGCAGCGGGGGGCTGTCATCCCGCCCGGGGCTGGGCGACGAGCGCTGCCGCCGGTACGCTTTGGGCTCAGGCTTGTCGTCCCGGTAAGCCTTAGGCGGGTCCTTGTAAGCCGACGGCGGCTCCTTGGCCGCTTTAGTCCGGCTCCGATGCGCTTTGCTCTCCCGCTCTTTCCTGCCGCTGCTGGGCGAGGCGAGGGAGCCTTTCCTGCGGCTGTCGCTGCCGCCGCCGCTGCTGCTCTTGAGTCCCTCCCGGTCCTGGCTCCCGGTGTGGTTGTGGCGGCTGCGGGACTTGGAGGAGGACGAAGAGGGCTCGGGTGCCCCGCGACCCGGCGCCGCCGCCCCCTCATGCTGCGCCTTGTCCTCGCCGCGCCGGCGGTGCTCCCGGTGCCGCTCCTTGGAGCGCCCGCTGCTACCGCGGTGCTCCCGACGGGACCGGCCGCTCCGCTCCGCCTCGCTCCGCTGCCGCTGGGTCCCGCCGCCCGACGAGGAGCCCGGGCTGCCCCCGCCGCTGCCCCCGCCGGCCGCACCGCCGCCCAGCAGCCCCTCGGACTGGGAGCTCACGTCGTCGTACTCCTCCACCAGCGTGCTCAGCCCGCCGCTACCGCGCCGCTTCTCCGCCTCCTGGGTGCCCCCACCGCCCCCGCCGCCGCCGCGGCCCCGCCGCCGCTTGTGCCGGGAGCCCGAGCGCCGCTTGCCCCGCGGCCGCTTCCGCTCCCCGCCGTCCCCGCAGCAGGAGGAGGCGCCGGTAGCCGCCAGGAAGAGCAAGGACTGCGGCGGCAGCGGTGGCTGCAACAGCGGGGGCTGCAGGAGCGGCGGCTGCAGCAGCGGGAACAGCAGCGGGTGCGGGGCCGGCGGCGGCGGCTGCGGCTGGGCCGCGAAGCGCTTCCGCCTCCGGTGGTGCAGCCGCTTCTTGTCGGCCGCCGCCTCCACCGCCGCGCTGCCGCCGCTGCCCCAGCCCCGGCTGCCCCCGCTCCCGCCGGCCGCCGCGTCCGAGGTGCTCGGCATCGAGCTCGCTCACGGCCGAGGGCGCGGCCCAGGAACCCGCCGCCGCCGCGCTCAGGGCGCCATGGGGACCCGCACCGGGACCGACCCCTGCGGCCGCGCCGGGGCCTCGCTCGCTCCCGCACCGCCCGCCCGCCTCACATGGGGCCGCGCCAGTACATACGGAGTCGGGCCGGGGCTGGGGGCGCTGCCCGAGTCGGCAACGGCGGAGCGGCACCGGGAGCGCCCCGCAGGCCGGCGCGGCCTCTCCCGCAACGCGGAAGTGTCTCCCGGCGGCGGCAGCTCCTCCTTACTCCATCCTCGGCCGCGGCCGGGGACACGGACACCGGGCGCGGGTCGCGGGGCCGCCGCCTCCTCCCTCAGGCACTCCCCGGCAGGGCAGCGGGGTCAGGCTGGGCCGGGCCGCCCCCGGGCAGGGCGTCCGGGGCGCTGCGCGGCTCCGCTCCCGCGGATCGTGCCCGACGGGGCCCGCAGGTGGCGGTGGCGGTGCCTGGGATGCTGACGCGGGCTCGACGGTGTCGCGCGGTGACACCCGCACCGGGGGAACACGGACACGGGCCGGCGCCGCGCGGCGCATGCGCGGAGCCGGCGGCGCGCGGGGGAGGGGGAGCGCGGCCCGCCAATCGCGCGCGGCGCCACCGCCTTCGCCCGCATGCCCGAGAACCGCCCGCTCTCGCGAGATCTCACCACTCCTCCTCCCCCGTCCGTCCCGTGCGGCTCTCGCGATACCGCGGCTCTCGCGGGAACTGCGCCGTGCCCGCCCTGCGAGCGGTAGGAGGGGATGAGGATGGCGGCGGACGCGGGGGGGGAGAGGGCCACCTGAACATGAGGAAGAAATTCTTTACTGTGCGGCTGACGGCGCACTGGAACAGGTTGTCCAGAGAGGTTGTGGAGTCTCCCTCACTGGAGATACTCAAGAACTGTCTGGACACAACTCTGAGCAATGTGCTCTAGGATGACCCTGTTTGGGCAGGGGGGTTGGACCAGATGACCCGCTGCGTGGTCCTTTCCTGACTCATCCTGTGGGCTGTAGCGGGGCGGGCGCTGCAGGAGGCAGTGTAGGAAACCCCCCGCTTTCCAGGTGGTTTTCCTTGCTTTTATTTTGCGTAGGCCCTGCTTATTGATTTGGGGAGAAGGGAGGAGTGAGAGCTCCTACTGAATTACAGCGTTGAAGAAAATCGCTCCATTTAGAAGACATGTGTACCTCTGAACAGTGAAGCCACTTCATTGCTTCCTGAAAAGTTTTTTGATTTTTTTTTTCTGTCTTACAGTACTGAAACAAACTTAGAACATTTTAAGTTTCCTTCCCAACTTCTTGATTTCTGATTTCATACTGTAATGAAGTCTCGAGCTCTTTTTTTTCCCTTTTTCTGCCCTCTTTATCCTTTTGCTTTCTCATGGTTTTACTGAATTTCCTGACTGGATCTGAGACTCTGCTGCCTGTTCCTCCACTCACCTTCTGGGGCTGACTTTCTTCCATTGGTAGCATCTGCCATACCATCTTAAATGTCGTTGTGAGTGCCCTGAAAGCAGAATCTGTCTTTCCCTAGGGAGTTAAAAGTCTTCCAGCCACCTTGCTATCTAATTGTTGTTAGTTAGCTTACATACATACTGGTTATTTGTCTTTGTAAAACACTGTGCAAAAATAAAGAACCAAACCAAAGAAACCCACCTGTTTTTCACTGTTGTACTTCAGCTTCCTGAATCCCTCTTAATCATTTCCTCTCCATTTCTAAACCCAAGGAAAAGCTCTCTTCCTATCTAGGTCCTGTGCATCATCTGCTTCCAGCAAACCTCCTTTCACAAGTTTGTTACTTTACTTCACCCATCACCTCTCTGTTCCAATTCACATTTCTTACAAATGTTGCCATCAAAGCATTCATTACGTATTTCTGTAGTTATGCACACACACACATGCACTTTCCTTCAGGCTTTCTCTTAAGGCAAGTGTCATGTCCAGAACAGCCACGCCTTTTTTTTTTCCATTCTCTGATAGTGTCCCATTGGATGGTGAAGGAGAGAAGGTCCCTGTCCAAGGAGGATTGCTCCGACCTAGGCAGTGACATGTTTATACTTTGCCAAATCATGTTTCTTTATCAATATGCTGCACCTCGTGAGACTACTGCAAGATGTAGGGGTCAGTAGCAACATGCCTCACATCTTCCCAGGAGCTGTGTTATGTGCCATGCCTCACAGATTCCATCTGTGGCTGTTGTGGAATAGCTTATCTTTCCATGGTGGCCTGGAGGCTGCTCTCAGCTTTGATGGGGTCCTGTACTGCTCACTGTGTACGTGAATGTTCAGCGACTCCTAAGAGGTTCTCCAGGGTGTGTGACAACACGCTCAGCAAACCTAGTGCACCATCAGGCTTCTGGCATGTTAAAAAAAAATCCCCAAAACAGAACCCAGAAAGCCAACAACAGAGGCAGCTGTGGAGACTGTGGATAATTATACAGAGCAGATCTGGACAATGCAACACAGGCTGCAATTTCTAATTTACTCCTGAACTGGCACTTCTGGACCAGGAATATGTTATTTGAAGGACTTGTGTCATTAGCAGTGGACTGATGGCGTTTTCTATGTGGAGCAAGCCCGTGAATTGTCGGAGAAGCTTAACTAGAAGCTAAGCTGCTAATGACAGGGAGTTTACTCTGCCTGGAAATTAGCTACACCAGGTTGTAGGGGGATTTGCCAACAACAATCATGGCAGTGTTGGCAGCTGTCAGCCAACAGGCGATGGCAGCATAGGATTTGACAGTGGAAACCTATAGAAACCCGTAGATTCCTGCCTGACATAACAAAGCAGACCTGAAACAGATCCCTTGCAGAGAATGAAATCCTTCAGAAGCATTGAAGTCTTTGATGGCATAGTGCCAATTTTTGGCTTCGCAAAGGGCCAGAAAATTCAAGATGCATTACAACTTGTTTCCACAAGGCTCAGTGGGGAAGAGCAAATAGTAGAGAAAGCAGAGCCAGATCAGACTTTGGCAGTGGCACCTGCAGTGGTGTGAGAACCAGAACTCTGAAGAGATGGTTGTTCCACAACAAGCTGAAATCTTGTGTCATAGGAATGTTGGTTGCAGATATCTCATATCTTGCAAGGTATTGTTGTATGGTCAGCACATGAAAACAGTGGTAAACACTAGAGAAAAAACAGCTGGAAAGTTTTAGCCAAAATACTATCAGCTCCAAAAGTATTTGGATGCCAGCTCTAGAAATGGGGCCCTTAGAAGAGCACTTCCCTAACAGCCATCCTGTGGAGGAAACTTGGGCTAACATTTAGGTAACTTTTTTTTTTTTTAAAGCTCAACTTATATGCTGATTCTTTACTCAAATACTTTTTGTATCTGGAAAAGCACATTAAGGCTCCCAGGAGTCTGTTCTGAGCAACTGTTCACCATCGTTAGTATAATACAGTTGGTACAAATAGATGCTGAGCTGGTCATACACTAAGGAGGAGACTGTTCCTACATGTCATGGGCAATGTTACCACTTCTTTTTCTTGTTAAGGTTTTTGTTGTGCTTTCTTCCTTCTGTCTTTTAAAGTTTCTGTGTCCTGTCTTTGCCACCATGTGTAAAAAGTTCTTAGCGACATCCTTCTAGTGCAGCATAACTGTCAATACATTAAGATAAAAAGAAATGGGAAAAGTTTTCAGTAGTTTAAGGATTTTTATTTTTCAGCAGAATTCCTCAGGGCTTGTTTGTTGACTTGGAAGGCGTTTTTCCTTAAGGATGATTTTTATTTGGTGGGGGGGGTTGGGTGGTGGTGGTGGGAAAAGTTGTCTAGTTTTCACTTTCTCCTGAGTGGCAACGTATCTAGAGTTCTTTGAATTTTTTTTTCCAGTCTTCCAGTATCAACCTGCTTTTTGTCCTACAAGTACAGTTTTCCCCAAACATAGAGAGAGCTAGAAATTAAAATTTGTAGCTTGAGGGTTTTTTTGGTTGGTTGAGTTTGGGTTTGGGGGGTCTTTTTTTAGATAATTGTGGAAGTCTTAGAAGGCATCTTATTTTTACTCTCTGAAGTACTGTATGCTTTCACATGTGTTCCAACTATTTTACAAAACATAGTCTGGTGTCTACATATACTGTCCTATTTAGTCCGGGAGTATTTTTTATTACTACTTTTGCTAATTCAAGATGCAATTTATTTGCATCTTGCCCTAAGATTGTCTATTTCCTGAAGTGCAATAATTCATGTTTTCCAAGGCCCTGTTGAAAAATGTTGCTATGATCTGGGAACTCAAGTGTTGGAAAAAACAGAGAAGGATAAAGACCTGTGTATTGGTTCATCAGGACACAAGTGGACTTAACAGTGAAATGTCAAATGCAGACCATACACAGAAGGGTTGAGAGAGATTAATGCTGTCTTTAAGTCACTGTTACATCACTGAGTTTCTGTTCTGGTCATTTTTATTTAGAGAAAGGCAAATTCACAACAGGAGCAGAAAACACTATGAAGATCATCAGTGAACCAAGATCTTAATTTCAGGGGAGACTGGCAGAGCATGGTTAGTCTAGCATAACAAAGAAGAGGAAGTCACAGTGTTCTGTAAATTTAGCTTGAGGGTAGAGAAGGTGTCCCTGCCCATGACGGGGGGGTTGGAATTAGATGATCTTTAGGGTCCCTTCCAACCTGAACCATTCTGTGATTCTAGGAAAGAAGATAGAAGAGAAAAGAACTATTTGCACTAAGAGACAGAGTTAGTGCAGTCAGTTATAAACAAAATGTCATGGCTTTAAAGCCCATTCTCTTCTGAAGCAGGCTTATTGCTTGCTGCTGGGAGACACTTGCACAGTTGCCACTCACCCTGACTCCTTTGGGAAAGCAAACTATTAATACTTCCCAAAGCCGTTAGGCTAGAACTTAAGTGGTTGATACCAGCTTCATCCATTGCTGAAGTAGTCTTAACAATGGCTGGAAAAGTATATGCTGCCCTCCACAAACTCCGAGCACAGATGTCTTTTCAGATTTTTAACTACCAAGTTCACAAATATTCAGAACAATCACTCCATTTCTTAACTCAGGATGCATTTCCTCTGCTGACTGAGCCCTGCTTAAATGTACCAAGA